CTGACGTAATTATGATTGACAATATAGCCATCATTTGTTTCGAGCGCCAAGGGGCCACAGGTGGGGCATCCAACGTATGGGCGTCCACGCGTGAAAATACTTGTGCGGAGGGAGATGTCCACCATGCGTCTGGCGCATGCGCATGCCTTTGTTTTCCTTTTTTCGAGCCATGGGTTACAAGTGGGGCATCCACAATGTGGGCGTCGGATTTACTACGAGTAAAAATGCGTGTAGGGAGGGGGGGATCCAACATGTGTCTGGCGCATGCGCATGCGTGTGTTCTCATGTGTTTCCGGCGCCGCAGGGGCCACAAGTGGGACATCCAATATGTGGGCGTGGGAGTCTTCACGCGTGCGAATGCGTGGGCGGAAATGGTGTATCCAGCATTTCGGCACCAATGGGGCCACAAGTGGGGCATGCAACATTTGGGCGTGGGATTTCTCACGCCTGCAATTTCGAGTGCGGGGGCTGCGTGGGGTCTAACATGAGGCACGTTTGTTTCATATTTTCTGCGCAAAGGGGGCCACGAGTAAGGCATCCACCATGTGGCCGTCGCATTCTTCGCTCGTAGAAGTGCAGGCTCGGATGATGGTATCCACAATGCGTCTGGCGCGTGCAAAAGCACGTGTTTTCAGATCTTCCAGCGCCAAAGGGGCCACAAGTGGGGCGCATCCAACATGCGGGCTTCATCTTCACGCGTAAAAAACATGCGCAGGGGGGTATCCAACGTGCGTCTGACGCATGCGCATGCGTGTGTTCTCATTTGTTTTCGGCACCACAGGGGGCTACAAGTGGGACATCCAAAATGTGGGCGTCGGATCTTTCATTCGTAACAGTACATTCGCGGAAGGGGGTATCAGACATGCGTCTGGCGCATGCGCAAGCACGTGTTTTCATCCGTTCCAGCGCCAAGGGGGCTACAAGTGGGGCGCATCCAACATGTGGGCTTCATATTCGTTACGCGTAACAAAAACAACAACATCCGCGGAGGGGGTATCCAACATGCGTCTGACGCATGCGCATGCGTATGTTCTCATTTGAATTCGGCGCTACATGGGCAACAAGTGGGGCATCCAACATGTGGGCGTCGGATTCTCTACGCGTGAGAGTACGTGCGCGGTGAGGGGGTGTCTAACATGTCGGCGCCGAATGGAGCCACAAGTAGGGCATCCGATATGTGGGCATCGGATTCGCTCGCTCGTGCAAATGCGAGCGCATGGGGGGAGCCCAACATTTAGCAAGTGCCTTCGCGTATTTTCGACCTCGAATGGGCCACAAGCGGGACATCCAACGTGTGGGCGCTGGATTTCTTACGAGTGAACATACGTGCGCGGAGGAGGATATCCAACATGCGTCTGGCGCATGCGCAAGCACGTGTTATCATGTGTTTCCAGCGCCACAGGGAGCACAAGTGGGGCATCCAATATGTGGGCGTCGGACTCCCTACGTGTAAACATACGCATCCGGGGGGTATCCAACGCATTTCTGTGCCACAGGTGTCCAACATGTGGTCGTTAAACATTTCACGCGCGTGAAAAATACGCGTGCGGAAAGGATAGCGTTTTGCATGTGCCTGGCGCGTCTTTCACCCGCGAAAGGCTCTGGCCCAGTGAGTACAGAGAGGCGGGGCATTCAACATGCGCACGGGCGCGTATGCGAAGGGGCTCGTATGAGCAAGGAGCGAGGAGGAGGAGGAGTAGGAGGATGAGACAACTGACGAAAATGAGGAGCATGGAGGAGGAGAAGGAGGAGGAGGAGGGGGAAATTGATGAAAACCAGCCTGGCGAAGAACCCAGCCATCTCTCAACACGTAGCGGTTACTTCGCCACTACGAAAGTTCGGCCAAGATTCACTTCCCCCCATTCGGCGGCGCGGCATTGGTACAATGTTGTCAACGGGGGACATGTCGAAAGGGGTCGGGGCCCCAGTACAATGTTTCCAGGCTGCGTCTTGTTGCTTCGTGTAGCGAAAGCATGTTCACGCAATTTTCAATTCGACCCAGGAATTGTCGATTTCGGTCAAACATTTTTACTCCAAGAAATAATGGGCGGAATCGCCATTCCGACGTCGGACCGACGAGCTTCGACACCGAGTCGAAATCGTTGTTTTCAGGAAGTCCCATGCGAAAACCACACTTTCGATTGTTTGGACTACCGAATAGATCGACTGTTCAATGGCAAAGGGGCTTGCCCGAGTCGAAACGACGATCATGTTGGAAACCTCGTCGAGAAAACAGGTCGACCGAAGCCAAAAAACACGGGGTCGAAGTCGAAGTGGCGGTTCCGCGCAATTCTCCTTCCAAAACAGACTGCGAAACCCAGCCCGTTCACAGTCAAAATGGCGATTCCGCCCAGGGTTTCCCCCCAACCTCATTTAGAGCCCTGAAGGGTTCGAGTTTGAAAGATGGTCGTCTTGTTGCTCACAGACTCTGGCGCTCAAAAGCGTTTCAGCCCTTGTCCAACATTGGAACCGTCGTTCGGCACTGTCTCAGTGGAGCCACGATATGCGTCAAAACTTGTGCAGCGGCGATGTGTAAACAAAACCATTCAACACACAAGAACAAAAGGATGGATCTGCAGTACCCCTCAACGCAATGTTCCTTTTTCACACACACGCACTCTCGCGACTCAAATCGCAAACGGGGGGCACCACGAACAGTGTGAGAGATGTGCTGGAATGGGGCGGGGCGGCGCCATGCGAGTGCAGCCACTGGAGCGCTTGGTGGAGCCTCCTATACAGCCACGAAACGTGTGAGGAGTGTGCCGAAATTTGCGGGGTACCATGTGAACCCAGCAGTGTGAATATTTGGGGCTCGTTGTGGGGCCACGAAACGTGTGAGGTGTGCGCCGAAATGGGGCGGGGCGTCAAGTGAGCCTGGCCACCAGGGCCTTCGGAGGGTCTTCGAATGAGCTTACGAAGCGTGTGAGGGGTCTGCCGAAATGGAGCGGGTCACCGTGTGAACCCAGCCATTGGGGCCTTCGGCGAAGCCCCGCCTATTGGGGCACGAAGCGTGTGAAAGGCGGGCCATTGGGGCATTCGGTGGAGCCAGGGGGGCACGGAACGTGTGAGTCAAATTGCAGTGGGTCACCATTGGATCTTCGCCGGCAGGGCCTTCGGTGGAGCTCCCTATGTGGGGACGAAGCGTGTGAGGGTTGTATCGAAACGGACATGCGGAAAGCAGAGCACATGGAGGAGGACATCTAGAGCAGTTGAGAAGGAAGAAGAAGAGGAGGAGGACCATTGCAAACCCAAGCCGCATCAACGACGTTGCAGCAAACCCTCTCTCCAAGGTTTTCCTTTCTTACATTAATGAATATTCGTTGCAGGACATGGCCTTTTGGAAGGCAATCGTCTGACAACCCTCGATCTTTCCAAACCACAACGCCTGCGACCTCAACGCCGCGGATCAACGTGACTGTCGCGTTCTGACAGATCTAAATCGCGCCAAAACGCCATTCCTGGTAATCCACGATGAACGACGCTGCTGCGTCCTGACAACCCGAAATCGTGCCAGAATGCCACTCCTGGGACGTCGACCGTGCGAATATTTGAAGCTGCTGTGAACTGTTAAGACGGATGTGTGCGGTGCAAAGGCGAGAGCTGCATTTCGAAAACGGAGCCACCTTCGATGTGTGAAATTGATACACATTTTCAGAGCGAATGCGCGCGGCGCTAAGGCGAGAGCCACATGTTGAAAGCGGATGTGCGTTGCGCGATGGCGGGAAGCACATATTGAAAACGACCCGTCTTCCATCCGTCACACTGCCGCTTGTTGAGACGAGTGTGCGCGGCGCCAGGGCGAGAACCGCACTTTGGAAACGACCCGCCCTCCATCCGCGAACTTGATGCCAACTTTTAAGACGAATGTGCGCGGCGCTAAGGCGTTGAACCAGATTTTGAAAACGACCCGCCTTCCATCCGTGAGAGAGTTGCAAATTTCAAGCTTCAGGATCAGAGATGGCGAGACAGTTCCAGGCGGAACGCCCAGCCCGCCCTACCGACACGTCTGGGGATGCGACAGGGAGGAGTTAGTTATAAAGAAACGGGATGGTGGGAGGAGGGGAAGGAGGAGAGGAGAAGAGAGGAGTGAGACGCGCGGCGCTGCGAATTCAAAACGCGGGTCCGATTCAAGGGAGGGTTGGGAAATGTCACGACGAAGGAGGAGAAGGAGGGGGGAGGAGGATGCCCCAGGATGCCCCAAGGGCATACGGGGTATTGCGAGGAAGTCTCAAGAGAAAGACAAGGACTACGCTAGACCACGCACCGTAGCAGATCAGATGATACAATGTAGAGGTGTGGCACACCATCGTGTAACATACACGTTATAATGTGGTTTGGTTTGAAGTCCTTGCCGTTGATCTCTCAAGTTGCTTGAGTTTTCCTCTTCCCCCATGTTCCGGATGTTTCATCAAACCGCGCATGTTGGGTATCACCCCCCGCCTCCACGCTCGTATTTGCACATGCGAAGAACTCGACTACCACTGTTGGATTGCCCCTTCGTTCCTGCACGCGTGGAAACACGCGCCAAATGCGCGCGCGCCAAGAGCATGTCAGATACTCCCCCTCCACGCACGTATTTGTTCGCGTGGGGAACTTTACGACCACACGTTGGATGCCCCCGTCGCGCTTGTACATGTGAAAGCACGTGCCAAGCGAACGCGCCAGGAGACCATTTCTGTCTTGCTTGGGGCATGACGGGCGTCATGGCCCCCGTCCCCCCCCCCTATGACGTGACGCTCCCCCCCCAGTGCGCTCCGGGCACTGCCGCTGTGCGCATTGGGATCCGCGTACGTGTCCGCGTAGGAATCAGCATAGGAGTTTGGTCCGCAGTCGTCGTCGTCGTCGTCGTCGACGTCGTCGTCGTCGTCGCTCGTGGCTCGTGGCTTGTGGCTCGTCGCTCGTCGCTCATCGTCGTCGTGCGCGCGGACGCGGCTGGAGCCTGTTTTTTTATTCCGGGCCGATGACGGCAATCACCCGGGGGGGGTGGAGGGGGTCGATGACGTCACGCTTCGCGCCGGCGGCGCCTGGGAATGCTTAGGAATAACGGAAGACGGGTGGCACCAGCACGCAGGTGGCGATTTGCACCACAACGCCTGTGTACACCTCAGTGCTTGCGTGCACCAAAGCGCCTGTGTACACCATACCGCCCATGTACACCACAGCAGCGGCGTGCAACACAGCGTCAGTTTGTGCCACCGCACGCGCAGGCACAACAGCTTTTGTGTACACCACAGCGCCTGCGTACACCACAACAGCCGTGTGCAACACAGCAGTGTACACCACAATGCCTGCGTGCATTGCAGTGCCTGTGTACACCACGGCGCTTGTGTGCACCACAGCAACCGTGTGCAACACAGCGCCACTGTTGTATGTATAATGTTAGAAGGAATCGTTATGACATCATGGGGCGTTTGTGGGTTCCACCGAAAACACCAACAAACAAAAACATTATGGATAAGGGAGCGCCAGGGGAATCTACGAGTTCTTCCGTTTTCGCCCGCATCACCGTAGCTCCTCCCATCTACGTCCAGGAGGCTGCAGCTAAATTGGCCGTCAGAGAACCAAGTGGGCCGATTCAATAGAACATTTTGCGGTGCACGCTGAGTTGCGCACGTGCGCTGTAGCGCCAACCCGCACGACAGGGGGTAAGGAGGAAGAGGAGGAGGAGGAGGAGGAGGTGGAAGCGGAGGAGAAGGGAAGAGGGAACAATGTCGCATTATATTATCATTTGTTTCCTGGCGTGGCACTTCCGCAGCACATCCTCACGTACAGGCTCCTTCTACTTGTCCTATGCACGCAGGCATTGTGGTGTACAATAGCGCTGCGTTGCACGCGGATGCTGTGGTGTAGACAGGCGCTGTGGTGTGCACAGGCGCCACGGTGCACGCAAGCAGTGTGGTGTACACAGGCGCTGTATTGGATACGGTTGCCTCCAATGTGCACATGTACACCGGTATTGTAGTGTACGCAAGCACTGCACTGTACACAGGCGTTGCGTTGCACACGGTTGTTGCGATGTACGGAGGCGCTGTGGTGTACATGCGCGCTGTGGTGCGCGCGAGCGTTGTGGTGCACACAGGCGCAGGGGGGCAGATCGCCACCTACATGATGGTCGCGTCGTCGTCGTCGTCGCTCGTCGCGTCGTGCGCGCGGGCGCGGCTTTGGTGCCGGAGGCACACGGCCGAGGGGGGGGGAGCGTTACGTCATACCCCCCTCCCGCCCCCCCCCCCCCCATGACGCTCCCGCTGACCCTCCGCGCTCGTATTTACTCGTGCGAACAAGTCGACGACCACACATTTGATGCCCCGCCTTCGCCCTTGCACACGTGAGAACACGTGCCGAACGCGCTCGCGTCAGGCGCATGCTGGCCCCGCCCGCCCTCCGAGCATATGTTCTCACGTGACAAGAATTCAATGACCACATGTTGGGTTCCCCCTTCGCGCCTGCACACATGAAAACACCTGCCAAACGCATGCGTGCCGAGATGCATGTTGGAAACTCCTCTCTTCGTACACGTGCTTGTACCTGCCCAAGTCCGCTGCCACTTGCACGACACCCCCTCCGATCTAGGGCAAAAGGCCCGCCCACTAAAAGAGAACCCCAGGACCGAGCCCATACTGGGGAAAAACATCCATAATGGAGGGGAACGTTAATCATCTATCAATGTTGCAGATGCTCTTTCCTCTGGGTCCCTGCTCCGCCTTCACCTTCCCCTCCTCAGCCCACACATGCATCTGCTCCCCCTCCTCCCCCTCCGCTCTCTCTCTCTTACACGTCCTCCTCCTCCTCCTCCTCCTCCTCCTCCGCCTCCTCCTCCTCCTTCCAACCTCTAAACCTCCTCCTGATGATCCCCCTAACCTCTTACGCCTCGCCCTCCCCCTCCTCCCCCCTTTCCTCCTCATCCTCTCGACCCCGCCCACCTTCCCTGCTCGGAGGCTGCGGGCTATCCGGCGGCTGGTCCTGGACCACCGCCCGCCGACCTCGACCTGCTCGGGGGCGCGGCATCGCCGCAGGAGGCCCCAGCCCTGCAATCGCGGCCCGGGCCCCGCGATCGATGCGCCACCGCTTCCTCCTCCTCCTCCCTCCTCCTCCTCCTCCTCCTCCTGCCCCTCCTCCTCCCCCTCCTCATCCTCCTCCCCCTCCTCCTCCTCCTCCTCCTCCTCCTCTTCCTCCTCCTCCCCGTCCTCCCTCCTCCTCCTCCTTCTCCTCCTGCTTCTCCTCCCTCCCCTCCCTTTCGTCTTCCTCCTCTTCCTCCTCCTGCCCCTCGTCCCCCTATCCTCCACCTTCCACCTTGCTCTCCCGCCCATCCCCTCTTCATCATCTCTCGCTTCCTGCCCCTGGCCCTTCTCATTGTCCTCGTCCTCTTGTCCTCGTCGTCATGCTCTCATCCTTCGCGCTGGCCCTTGGTTCGCCGTCTCATCCACTGCCTCCTCTGCCCCTGCCTCCTCCTCCTCTTCCTTCTCCTCCTCCTCCTCCTCCTCATCCCCTCCTCCCTCCTCCTCCTCTCTCCTCCTCCTCCTCCTCTTCCTCTCCTCCTCCTCTCCTCTCCTCCTCCTCCTCCTCCTCCTCCTCCTCCTCCTCCTCCTCCTCCTCCTCCTCCCCCTCCTCCACAATTACATACACAATATGAATACTATTCTCCTCTCTCGCCTGATGACGTCCAGATAATGTCCAGAATGTATCCGGTCCCCTTCCGCGTATTGTTTTTCTACACAGGATTCCTGGGAAATGGTTCTCGCTGTTTTTTGTTCAAAATGTTGCTCCCGCTGAAGCGTTGGCCCCATTTCTGCGCCTCTGGTTGTTCCAAATCGTGCTCCCGCTGCAGCGCGGATGTTTTCGGTTCTTTCAGATAGGCCCCAAGATTTAGATGCCCCCCCCCCGAAAAAGCCATCGGAAGTGATTCCACATTCGGTGTCGATTCATTGGTTTCTTGGGCCGCAGAACCCCCTATTTTGGGTGGCCCCGTTTCTGCTTTGAGAAGGCGATGTTGGAAGCAGGGCCAGCGGGTGCTCTCCATCAGCTCCGCCTTGCGTGGAGCTTTTCGGGGAGCCCAAGGAGCTAGACATGGAGCCACGACTCCAGACCGGCCCAGACCTCTCGAAAACGACCCACTCACCCTCCAAGGAACCCAGCGCCATGCCATGACATGTTGTGCGGCGTTGCGTGCTGCGCCGCTGTGCGATGCCATGTTATGCGTCGCAATGCTTTGTGATGCAATGCTTCACTGCGCAATGCCACGTCCTGCTATGACATGTTACGCTCTGCCGTGCTCTTCTACGCCGTGCCATGCCGTGCTCTACCATGCATCGCGCACCCTCTCGCGATCATTGCCCTGCTCGACATCCGACTGTGCGAACAGAATGATATCTACGCCATGGTAAGGGATTGGAGGGAGGGGCAGGACGTAAAATCTGATGCGAGCGCGCCCAGCTTGTCCTTTCCCTCCTCCTCCTCCTCCTCTTCCTCCTCCTCCTCCTCTTCCCCCTCCTCCTCCTATTCCTCCTCCTCCTCCTCCTCCTTCTCCTCCTCCCCCGCCGCCGATGCCCCCTTAATCCTCCCCGTGTTTCTCCGCTGTCTCCTTTTTCTTTTCTTTCTCAGTATCGTCATCATCATTATCGCAATCATCCTCATCATCATCAGCAGCAGCATCATAATTTCTCACTTTGTTTCGTTCGTCCCTTCTCCTCCTCGTCCTCCCCTTGCTCCTCGTCCTCCTCCTCCTCCCCCCCTCTCCTCCTTCTCCCCCCCCTCCTCCTCCTCCTCCTTTTTCTTCCTCCTCCTCCTCCTCTTCCTCCTCCTCCGCCGCCTCCTCCTCCTCATCATCATTATCCTCCCTCCTACGCCTCCTTCTCCTCCTCCTCTTCCTCCTCCTCCTCCTCGTCCTCCTCCTCCTCCTTTCTCTCGCCCGTGTTCCTCAGCCATAAGTCAGCCTGTCGCACCCCGAGGCCAGTCGGAAGGGTAGGCCAGGCGTTTCGCTTGAGACTTCATTACTATGTTTGGTTCGAAGCTTAAGATATTGGCATCCGTTTCACAGATAGATGGAGGCGCTTCAAACTTGTGGCTATCGCCTTTAGTGCCGCGCACATTCGTTTTAAACACAGCACGAGTTTTGGGGGCTGGGGGCGTGTTGCTTTCAACATGTGATTCTCGCTTCAATGCCGCGCACATTCGTTTTAAATATTTGCAGTGGCTTCACGGATGGAGGGCGGGTCGGCTTCAAATTGTGGTTCTCGTATTAGTGCCGCACACATTCGTTACATTATTGATGCGTGGCGGTTCCTTTTCAAAATGATGTTCTCGCTTTGGTGCCGCGCAAATTCGTTTTAATCAGTTTCCACATTTCACGCAATATCATGGTTAGCTTGCCAAGCATAGTGTTTTGCAGCGATTCGGGATTGTTAGGGCGCATCAGTTACGTTGAGTCGCGGTGGTGGAGTCCCAGGAAGGTGCTATGTCACGCTTCAGGATCGTAAATGCACGACAGTGGCGCTGAAGTCCCGAAAGTCGTATGTGGCATGCTTCAGGATCCTCAAACGGCTGCCTCCAAACGGCTCACTTCCCTCAGTGGAAATGAACCCTTGCAGGGCCTATAAAGAGAGACCTTGGAGTGAGTGTTTCTTCCAACATCGTTGATGACTCTTGGGTTTCTCTTGGGTTTGCACTGGTCCTCCTCCTCCTCCTCCTCCTCCTCCTCCTCCGTTTCCTCATTATCCTGCTCCTCCTCCTTCTCTCCTCCTCCTCCTCCTCCTCCACCTGGTTCTCCTCCTCGTCCTCCTCCTCATCCTCCTTCCTGTTCTTCTCCTCCTCCTCCTCCTCCTCCTCCTCCTCCTCCCTCCTCCTCCTGCTCCTCCTCCTCCTCCTCCTCCTCCTCCTCCTCCTTCGTGGGGTTGGCCAGACCTTATGGTTACGCGTGTTGCGTTCTTTCCTCCTCCTCCTCCTCCTCCTCCTCCTCCTCCTCCTCCTCAAGCTCGTGCGCTGCTGTCCCCGCCGCAGCCGTCCTGTTGCCGCCGGGTGCGACCGACGGACGCCGCGCCGCCATGGGGGCTGCGCGCGGCGCCCTCCTGGCGGCCCATGCTGCCAGCGGCCTTGCAGCAGGGCAATCCCGCTCGGGGACGCGCCTGCTGCGGGCGGCCGAGGGCCCGCCGCGCACCGCGGAGGCCGAGCCGGCGGCTCCGCTTGCGGCGCAGCCTCCCACAGGGCCGGGCGCGGCTGCGCCTGGCGCGCCTCATCGGAGGTGGCGCCGGCCCCGCGGCCGCAGGGGGCGACGCAGCGCGGGCGTGGCTGCCGCCGACGGCGGCGACGGCGACGACGGCGCGAAGCAGGACAGGCAGGAGGAGGAACGGGGCGATGGCGCAGCAGCCCCTGCGCCGCGGGCTCGGGCTCCGAGGGGCGCGGCGGCAGCTGGCGACGGCGCGGACGGCTCGGGTTCGGGCGCGTCCATGAAGGGCGAGTGGGCCGCTGGCGCCCGCGGCGCTGGGGCGCGCGGAGGCTGGGTCTCATCCCTCGGCGGGTTTTCTTGGCGACGGAGATTACTTGCGTACGCTGACTCGCTCGTCGAGCTCTGCGTGGACCCGTTCGCTGTCGGGGGGGGCGCAGGACTGGTCAGGTCCAGTCCTGGCCCCTGGTGGGTGGTCGGGGTGCTGGGTTGGTCAGCCTCCCCCGTGACAATGGAGCGGGCCCAGGCCCCCCGCTGGCACCCCATGGTGGCCTCTCCCACCACCATGGGTGTATGTGGGCTGGAGCTCCCTGTCAAAACACAACTCCCCGTCCTATTCCTCCTCCGCCTCCCCTAGGATGTTTTTTTGCTGTTGCTCCTGCGCTTCGCCCTCCTCCGCCTTCTCCTGCTCCTCCCATTCCTCCTGCTCTTCATCCTCCTCATCCTCCGCCACCCCCCCCTCCCCTCCCCGCTTCAGTTGTCTCCCATCGGCGGCGCGCCCAGGGGCAAGGGAAAACTGCATGGGGGGAGCTCAGCGGGTGGCGCACCGAGCTCCGATCGCCCATTGATCGCCGACGGGGCCCGATAGCCCACCCCGCCCAGAAGCGTGCGGCGTCGGTATCGAAAGCCTGCCGCCCATTCCAGGTCGATGATTCCTTTCTCCGCAACCGCCCCTCTCCCTCCTCCTCTTCGCCCGTCCTCGGATCGCTTCGTCCTCCTCCTCCTCCTCCTCCTCCTCCTCCTCCTCCTCCTCCTCCTCCTCCTCTGGTTCCTCCTCCTCCTCCTCCTTCTCCTTCTCCTCTTCTGGCTCTCCTCCTCCTCCTCCTCCTCCTCCTGCTCCTCCTCCTCCTTCTCCGTTTCGTCCACCTCCTCCTTTTTCAAATATTTGTCTTTATATGTGTGTATGTTCCTCTTCCTATATGTTTATAAGCCCGGGCGGGGGGGAAACCCATCACCCCCGCCCAAAAAACCGGACTCCCAGGACCTGGGGCTTTGGGGCCCTCCGGACGGGCCTCGAAGCGGCCACCGGGCCTCGCAAGGCGTTTTGCCAAGCCTTCCCAGCACACTTACGGCGATCAGGGGGGTCATCGGAGACGTCCCAGAGACCCCCAAGACAGCACAAGAGCGCTCCAAGAGTGACCGACGTGACCTCAAGATGGCCCAAGAGGCCTCCAGGACGGCCCCAAAGAGGCCTCCAAGAGCACTCCCAAGAAGGCCCCCCGAGGCAAAAATCATTGATTTTCTGATGTTTTTGGTGAATTTTGGGGTTCTCCTCTTTTCGGCTTCCCGACGCTCCAAGACGGCGGTCTTCTGGGCGTCCGAAGCCGCCTGGGAGGCTCCCAAATCGCCCCACAACCATCCGAAAGGGCTTCCAGGCAGTCCAAGAGAGCCCCAAAACGGCACAACACGGGTCCAAGATGGCCCTCAGAGAGCCCCATGGCGGCCCAAGATGGCCCAAAGACACCCTCCGAAGAATTCCAAATCGTGATTCGGTCGTTCAGGGAGACGGCGGTTGGAGGCAGGGTGGCCCGAGGAAGCTCTCGGATGCCCCCAGAAGACGCCCAGGAGGCCTCCAGAAGGCCTTAAGAAAGCCCGAAACAACTTTTGTGAGGCCCCTAGAGGCTCTCCAAGGAGGAGCTTCCGCAAAAAAGAGCTGAGGAGGATGTGGAGAATGCGCAGGGTATGGCGAAAATAAGGAACAATAAGCATGGAGGAAGGATAACGAATAACATCATTATAGCGGCGATGCCGGAAAAGGCAACCAGGAGTTATCGCTAAATTGTCGGCTTGACCTTCCTGCCATTCCGCCTGCAAACCAAAGTTCAAGGACCAAGGTGCATGGCGCGAAGCGCCGTTGCAGTCTTGTATATATATATATATATATATATATATAGATGGTCCCTCCCTGTCGCACCCCCAGACGTGTGGGTAGAGCGGGCCGAACGGTTCGCTTGAGACTTCCTCGCCACTTATGGTTTTGAAATTTGGTGAAGTCCCAGGAATAGTGTCCTGGCACGGTTTCGAATACTTAGGACGCAACGATCAAATTCATCCATGGCGTTGAGGTCGCAAGAACAGTCTTCTGTCACGATTGAGGATCCTCAGACGACTGATTGTTTTCTAATCGGGCACTTCCCGCGATCAACGTGTCTACGTTAGGGACCTAGGAAAAGGGAGTTCGGAGGGAGGGTTTATTGCAACATCGTTGATGCATCTTGGGTTTACACTGGTTCATCGTCCTTCTCCTCCTCCTCCTCTTCCTCCTCGTCCTCCTCGTCCTCCTCCCCCTCCTCCTCCTCCTCCTCCTCCTGCTCCGCCTCCTCCTCCTCTGGCTCCTCCTGCTCCTCCTCCTCCTCCTCTGGCTCCTCCTCCTCCTCCTCCTCCTTCCCCTCGTCTTCCTCCTCCCCTGACTCCTCATTGGCAATGGAGTTGATCATAGCATATCACTATTGTTAGGGCACGAAACGGTAAAATTGTACCGGCGCCCCAAACGACAGCGAGACAATATGTCTCCTCATCCGCCTCTTTCTCTTCTTCCTCCTCATCCTTCAAATATGTGTCCCAATATGCCTGATATCTTGCCCCTCCCTGTCGCACCCCCAGACGCGTGGGTAGAGCGGGCCGCGCGTTTCGCTTGAGACTTTCTCGCCGCTTGTGATCCTCTGCCACCGCCCTTCTCCCTCCCATCTCACAGCCCTCCTTCGCCACCGTCCCTCTCCCTCCCTCCCTCGTCTTCCCCAGTCCTCCCCCGACGCGGCCCGGCAGGCGCCCCCGCGGCAAGCTGAGGCCGAGACCCCCAGGCCCGCGGCGGCCAGGCCAGAGGGCGAGCCGCAGCTAGGCGGCGGGCCGGGAGCCGGCGAGAAAACGCCTTTCGCGCCGCGCCCCCCGCCCGCCGCCCCCACGGCGCGCCGAACGGCACGGGGCTCCTGCCAGGCCCCCAGTCTCGAGCGCTTTGCTCGCAGCGCCCCCCCTTGCGCCGTCAGCGGCTCTTCCCCCGGCGGAGGAGCTGCGGGTGCACACGCTTCCGCGTTTTGCGATCAGCCCTTCTGCCCCGTTCCACTCTCCATGCACGGTTGCTGCCCGTCGTGCCACAACCTCCCCCGAGCGTCTCTGCAGCCTTTTCGCGCATTTCTGCAGCCTCGCTCGCGCCGCCCCCACAGTGGCACCCTCAGAACTCGTCCTTGGATGCCTTCGCGGCGGAGGCCTCGACTCCGCTTCCTCCGCCTCCAGCTTTGTCCTCGTCCTTCAGCGCCGCCTCCTCCTCATCTTGTTTTTCCTCGCCCTCCTCTTCTTGGCCGGTTCCTCCTTGGGAGAAAAGGCGTGCGCGGTGAGAGCGCGCGTTGCCGGGAGCCTTTGGAGGCTGGGCCCCGTGGTCGGTCGATTACACGTCAGAATAAGCGTTCGCCAGAGTGATTTGGTGCGGGCCCGCCAGGGTCCCCTCAGGAAGGGTGGGCGGGGTTCGCAGGGGCTCGGGGGTGGGGGTCTTAAGCTACCCCGGCCCTTCTCGCCTTTCTCGCGGCTGAAGGTAAACCCAGGCTTACCGGTGCGGGGGGGGGAGGGCATCCGAAGCTCCCCCGCCTTCTTTGCCGTTTAGGCTTTTGTGGAAATGCGGGACGATGCTGCTGGTCTGGTCGTATCTGGTCGTCATTGTCTTGGTCGTCCTCGTCGTCGTTGTCGTCGTAGTCGTTGTCGTCGTCGCCCTCGTCCACGTCGTGGTCGTCGCATACGTAGGCTTGGTTGTCGTTGTCGTCGTCGTCGTCGCCGTCGTCCGCCTAGGTGTGCTCATACTCGTTGTCGTTTTCGTCGTCTGCCTACTCGTCGTTGACGGAAGTCGCCGTCGTCGTCGCCGCCATCGGCGGGCGCGATGAGGGCCGGCGTCATTGTCGTCGTCGTGGTTGCCAGTGTCGTTGTCGTCATCGTTGTCATCGTCATCGTCGTCCGTCGTCGGCGTCGTTGTCGTCGTCGCCCGTGTCGTCGTTCGTGTCGTCGTCGTCGTCGTCGTCGTCGTCGTCGTCGTCGTCGTCGTCGTCGTCGTCGTCGTCGTCGTTCGTGTCGTCGTCGTCGTCGTCGTCGTCGTCGTCGTCGTCGTCGTCGTCGTCGTCCGCGTCGGCATCGTCGTCGTCGTCGTCGTCGTCCTTGCCTGCGGTGGAACCACGTGCCCGGTACATTTTGGTGTTCGCCTCCGCGGCGCTGCACTAGGTGTCTAGAGCTCCGACCACTTTATTTCGGCACAGCACCGCCCCCCCCGCCCCGCCCGCCACCTCCACATCGCCCCGCCCACCCCGCCCACCAGCCCGCGCGCCCCCTCCGCCCCGACCCCTTCATTTCGGCACGGCACCGCCCCCCCCATATCCTTCGCGCCTCTTCCGCATCCCCCCACCCACCAGTCAGAGCGCCCCCTCCGCTCCGACCCTTCTACTTCGGCAAAGCACCGCCCCCCCCATCCCGCGCGCACATCCGCATCGCCCCGCCCGCCAGCCAGCGCGCCCCCGCGCCCCGACCATGTGTTTCGGCACGGCACCGCTTTCATCGACCCCCCCCGTCCCACACGCCCCCTCCGCCTCACCCCGCCCGCCAGCCAGCGCGCCCCCTCCGCCCCGACATTACGGCACGGCGCCGCCACCACCCATCCCGAACGCCCCCTTTGCATCACCCCGCCCACCAACCAGCGCGCCCCCGCCGCCCAAAATTGTTTATTCGGGCGCGACACCGCCCACCTGCATCCCGCGCGCCTCTTCTGCACCCCCCACTCACCAGCAAGCGCGCCCCCCCCGCCCCGACCCCTTGATGTCGGCGCGGCCCCGCCCCTTACTATAGGCCCTCCGCGCCCCCCCACCTACCAGCAAGCGCGCCCCCTTTGGCCCGCGCCCCATCGGCGCCCCCTACCCGCCAGCCAGCGTGCCCTCTCCAACGCGACCATGTATTTTGGCGCAGTACCGCCCTCTCCGCCCCGACCCCCCTATTTCGGCACGGCGCCCACCACACACACACACACACACACCACACACACACACACACACACACACACACACACACACACACACACACACACACACACACACCGCCCCCTCTCCGCGTCGCCCCACCCGCCAACCAGCGCGCCCTTTTCCGCCCCGATTTTTTATTTTTGCACGGCACCGCCCCCCCATCCCGAGCGCCCCTTCTGCATCACACCACACGCCAGCCAGCGCGCCCCCTCTGTCCCGAATCCCTTCATTTCGGCGCGGCCCCCCCCCCGCATCCAGCGCGGCCCCTACGCATCCCCCCGCCCTCCATTCGGAACACCCCCTCCGGCCCTGCCCCTCTGTTTCGGAAAAGTACTGCCCCCCCCCATCCCGCGCGCCTCTTCCGCATCCCCCACCCGCCAGCCAGCGCGCCCCCTTCCGCCCCGACCCTTTGATGTCGGCGCGGCACCGCCCCTCCCACTCCGTGCCGTCTCCGTTATTTCGGCACAGCACCGCCCCCTCCGCCCCGATTTTTTCATTTCGGCACGGCACCGCCCCCCCCACATCCCGCACGCCCCCTCCGAATCATCCCGCCCGCCAGCCAGCGCGCCCCCTCCGCCCCGACCTTTTTTATTTCGGCATCCCGAGCGCCACCTCTGCATCGCCACACCCAACAGCCACAGCGCCCCCTCCGCCCCCGCGCCTTTACTTCGGCGCGGCACCGCCCCCCCCTCCGGAGCGCCACTTCTATCACCCCATCCACCAGCCAGCGCGCCGCCTCCGCCCCGACCTTCTTCATTTCGGCGCGTCAGCGCCTCCACCCCGCCCCGCGCGCCCCCTCCGCATCCCCCCACCCACCAGCCAGAGCGCCTTCTCCGCCCCGACTGTTTCATTTTCTTGCACAGAGAGTCTAGAGCTCCGACCTCCGACCTTTTTTTCGGCACGGCACGGGTCGCTCCTCCACCCTTTTCCGCAGCGGCCAGCGCCCCCTCCGCCTTGGCTTTTATTTTCGGCACGGCACCAGTTCGCCCTCGGCCCCCCTCCGCAGCTAGCCAGCCTCTCCTTCCCTCGCCAGCCAGCGCGCCACTTCCGCCCCGATTTCTTGATTCCCGAACGGCACAGGCGCCGCGCCCGCCCCCCCCCTCCGCAGCCAGCCCACTTTCCATCCCCCCACCAGCCAGCGCGCCCTCTTCGCCGGACCTTGTCACTTCGGCACGGCACCGGCGCCTCGCCCGCCCCTCTCCTCCCCCACCGGCCAACACGCCCCTTCCGCCCCGACGCATTTTTTCCGGCGCGCTCACAGTCCCCCGCCCTCCTCCGCAGCCGCCAGCGCGCTTTCTCCGCCCCGACCATTTTGTTTCGGCGCGACACCAGTTCCCCCTCGCCCCCCCCCCCGCAGCGACCAGCCCGCCTCCCCATCCCCCGTCAGCCAGCACGCCCTGGCACGGCATTGGCATCGCGCCCGCCCACCTCCCCATCTCTGCAACCGGCCCACCCCCTCTCCCCCACCAGCTCGCGCGCCCCCTCCGCCCGGACTCTTTTATTCCGGCGCGGCGCGGCACCCGCACCGCGTTTGCCCCCCCCGCCCGCGGCCAGCCCACCTTTTCCTCCCCCCAGAGCGCCCCCTCCGCCGCGAACCTTTTCTTTCGGCGCCCGCCTCCCTCACCCCGTCCGCGGCCAGCCCACCTCTTCCTCGACCGCCAGCCAGCGCACCCCCTCCGCCCCGACCACTTTCTTTCGGCACTGCACCGGCACCGCGCCCTCCACCCCCCACAAAGCCAACCAACCTCCCTCCTCCTCCCCCACCAGCAAGCGCGCCCCCTCCACCCCGACCCAGATCCTCCTCGCCAGCCCGCGACCCCTGTGCCTCCACCCTTATATTTCAGCACGGCACGAGCACCGCGCCACTTGCCCCCCTTGCGGCCAGCCCAGCTCTTTCCCCGCCCACCAACCAGCGCACCCCCTTCGCCCGACCTTGTTTATTTATTTCGGCACGGAACTGGCACCGCGCCCTCCCTTGCGCCCCCACGGCCAGCCAACCTCCTCGCCCGCCAGCCCGCGCGCCCCACGCCAGCGGCGCTGCGCCCTCCCCTGCCCCCACCCTTCCCACAGGTAACCACATTCCTCTTCGCCCACCAGCCAGCGCGACCCCTCCGCCCCGACCGCCGTATTTCGGCACAGCAGTGGCGCCGCGCCCTCGCCTCCCCCCATAGCCAGCCCAGCTTCTCCCCGCCCGCCAGCCAGCGCGTCCCTTGCGATCTTCCCTTTTCATTTCGGCACAACACAGGCGCCGCGCCGACCCCCCCACACGGCCAGCCCAGCTTCTCCTCGCCCGCCAGCCAGCGCGCTCCCCCGCCCCGCCCTGCAGAGTCCTATTCCCCTTGCCCGTCTACCGACTCCGCTTCCCGCTCCCAGCGCTCACGTTTCCTTTTCGCCCTCCTCGCTCCCCGCCCTCCCTCCCCCATTCTCTCTCTTTTTTTTGTTCTCTCTCTCTCTCTCTCTCTCTCTCTCTCTCTCTCTCTCTCTCTCTCTCTCTCTCTCTCTCTTTCTTTTTTTTTTCTCTCTCTCTCTCTCTCTCTCTATTTCTCTCCTCGTCTTCATCTTCCCGTGTTCTCGTTTTTCTCACTCGCCATTCGCCCCCCCAGCTCTTACCCCCCTCATCATCCTCCATTTCCCCTCCCTTCCTCCGCCTCCTCGTCCTCCTCCTCCTGCTCCTCCTCCTCCTCCTCCTTTTCCTCCTCCTCCTCCTCCTCCTCCTCCTCCTCCTCCTCCTCCAACTCCTCCCTCTCCTCGATGTGCAAGAGCCACGGCACGCGCGCGACTTGTTCCCGCTCCGCGGCGCTGCCACGTGGCGAATGGAACGGGATGTGCGTTCGCCCCCTCCAGGCGCTGCCACGTGGCTGACTGACTGACGAGGCGCGCGGAGACCAGGTCTAGCCTGGGCGCAGGAACAAAAGCAGACATGCGGGGAGCAACGGTGCGAGGGTCACTAACGGCGCAACGCCGGGCAGTCCCCACTCGCACCGCGCCCCCCGCAAAATCAGACATGCGGGAACTTACCTCCGCTCTTGGGGGGCAATCCCCTGGACAGCCGTGACAGAACCTCTTTCCCTGCTTTGGAGGGGGGGCTGTCCGTCTTGCAGGGCTTAGACAAACTCTGCGCATTCACCGTCGCATGAGCGCCACAATGCAAACAGTAAAGAACTCCTCTCAAAACTTGCAATCGATGACTCCTGGCACACCTGGGGTACAAAGGGTGGGCCAGAGGGTCAGAGGAGAGGTGGGAAGGCCCCGCACACGGGCCAGGGAAAAAGTCTTGGACCTTCCCCCTCAACAAGAACTTACGCGAGCAAATCTGACACTGGAGGCAAGACCCTCGGCGCGTCGGCTCGTGGCCCGCCGCCCTCAGACGGCCTTTGCGCACCAGAAAGGACGGCAAGGGTGCAGGCCTTGGGGGGGGGCGTCCGAGCCTGTCCGAGACACGCCGAGGGTTCTCCGAAACAACCTCCTTATGGACCGCCAGCAGGCGGTCCAGAGTGTGACTAGTTATACGATCAACAAACCTAGTAGTTTCAACTTGCTCATCAGTGGGGGCAGCCCTTTGGGCCGCCCAGCCCGCGAAGAAATCAGCACAAAAGTTCAAAAAATACTCAACCTCACCGATTGAATAATGGGCCCTCTGTTGGGCCGAGGCGTGGCTCTTGGTCCAGATGACTTCGACCTGACCAGGGCCCCGATCGTCGATCGCATTCCAGATCAGAGCCCAGAGATCGAGCATCGAGCTGTTCGCCATCACCTGAGCCCGTGGCTGCCTGACCCCTTTGACCAGGGGCAAGTAATCAGAATAACAGACAATATCACCACTCGTTCGCAGAAGGACAGTCAGGAAGGCATACAACTCAGACCTCGGACTGGATTGTTCAGGAGTAGGTAAGGTACCACAGAGGACCGTAGATAACTGCAAAGATAGCCCATCAGGATCACCCAAACACACAATAGACCAAGCACAACGTCGTAGCCTCTTATCCTTGGCGTATACACCTCCAGAGCCATCAAGGCCCCAAATACCACCAAGAACACGATGCTGGACTCGTAGGGGACCCCAGGCCCACAGGAGCTCCTTCGGGGACGGCAGATGACCACAGGTAGCGTCCCAGCTAGGAAGCCCACGAGTGAAGAAGGCACTCTGAGGGTCAGCCCCAAGAGCCCCAGGAACCAAATATTCACTGGCAGCAACGGCAGGGTCAGGTAGGTACGAATTGCACGGGCAATGCCAAGCCCGATGCAACGGAGTTTCTATATCATCTCCACATCGGAAGCACCGGCCTGTTGTACGGTAGCCAGCGTCTTGTAGCCGACTTTCAGGCCAGCATCCTCCAACGACAATGGTGGTCAAGAGTGCAGCATTCTTGAAATCACCTTCATCCAGCAGCTTCTTGTGCTTGGAACGAAAAACAGAGAAGTCAGCACCAGACGAGAGACCTTGCCCACACCAATGCTGGCTAGCGGCAGACCAAATTGCGGCAGAGCAACTCTCTCGGACACAGGAGGTGACATGATACCGAAAATCAATACGATCCATTCTTAGGGGAGCTCTGCCTTCCACTATCCACTCATCGATATGGGAGGGTTGCCATCCTAGGTCCAAGACAGTAGCATACAAGGCAGCGATGGGACCGCGAACGAAACGCCACCGGTCAGACGCACGAGCACGGCCCACTGTCGCATGCAATTGAGACCAGACCTTTCGAGCTCCACTGCGCAAACCTTCAGACAAGGAAGACCACACTTCAGAGATTAGGGTAAGTTATTCAACACGTAGCCTATAGACAGGGTCATCCCTAGTATCATGCAATACTCGCAATACGCTGGTAGTACATGCCCCCGACGACCAGAATCCCGAACAGGAAGCCGCGGAGCCTCTAAACTGCTTCAATACTCCAGGTGGAAGTCCTGACATAGCATGCCCCCAAGAGCCCACAGAGAGGATGCCAGGCTTGAAGACCTTACGCGAAGCTCCACACAACCTTGCAAGGTAGGACAGCTTACGACCACGTCGGAATGCGATAGCACGTCTCTCATATGTTTTCCACGCAGTGCGCCTTCGGCCAGCTGAGGTGACTGTGCCCAGGTCTTTCACACTGGGCGAGAAAGTGATGGAAACTCCATGCTTCTTAAACTCTTCTTGAAGGAGTCGCTGCAACTCCACAGACGAGGCGACTGCAAGAGACTTGGGGCTGACCACACAGCCAAGACCTGATATATCATGCTGGAAAGCCGCCGCCGCAGGCGGCAAATAACGACAAATAAACTCTCGAGTACCCTGCAAGTACTGGGTGATGTCGTCGACATAAGACCTAATGGGAACACGGACCTGTGGGAGATCACCAAGGCCCTGTGGAACCCTGCTATGGGCCTTCTCCAGTACCCCATACAAGTAGCACTTCACCCACGGCATACTCTGACTACAACCCGCCAGGATAGACTCCCCAGCCTCAATAACCCGAGAAAGGTTGCCAGAAACCTCCAACAGCCTCGGAGCAGTGTGGATGAGGAGCCCCAAATACAGGAGGTGCCCAGGGTACCCACGGTTGGTGGCAAAGTGGAGGAGCTTGCAGGGGCTCACGGAGTCAAAGAACTTCTCGAGGTCCCAATGGAGCGCACAAGATTCGAACCCACATGCACGGGCCACTTCATGGGCCAGTTCACGAAATAAAGCAGCCTTAAGAGCAGAGGACCCTTTGACAGCAGAGTCCCAGAAATCCAGATGCTCTTTATTCCAATCATCGATATCAAAGCCGCGGGCTTTGCAGTAGATTCGGTAAAGACTGGGGCACTTGACAATGGCACGCTCATCACAAATCGACTTAGGCAGCATGGCCATGAGGCAGACATAGCACTGAGGAGGAAAGCTCAAAGTTTGCTCAACTTGACGCATGATACCTGTGAACACCTCGAGGGAGTCGATGGGAGCGGAGAGCAAACTGCGTGGCGCCAGCATGTCGACGCCTAGCGACGTGTGTGGCTTGAAACATGTACAGGCCTTAGCAATGTCATGCACTTCAAGCGGGTCCAAATCTTGCAGAACGACCAATGCTTGCGAACGAAGCTCACGAAGGCCTGCCTCCAGACACACACGCTGTTCAGAGTTTGGGGTCCACCATTTACTCCACTTCCGTTCCCGAAAGCTCATCATCAAGGTAGGGGTGTCCACGATACCCTCAGGAGTCAAGAAATACTCAACGCAAACTTTCTCTTCAGCTTTCAAATAGCGGTGGACGGGGCTAGCACCTCTGGGAAGGGATGACTGCAACCAAGTGCGCATGCTGCCCCTGGCCTTGGCATGTGCAAGAGACCATGCACGAGTACACACAACACCTGCAGCCTCAACGAGTTCTTCCAATCTATGACACACGTAGGGTGGTTGGTTCAGGGAATCCTTCCAGGACACAGCAGCTTGAGAACTCGCAAGAGGCTCGATGTGAGAAAAAATGTGGCACGACAAATCAGCCAAGACGCGCCTGTGCTGCATCGCGGCCTGAGAATACGGATCTTTTCGAGTCAACTTCATCAACTCATACAGGCGACTGGAAACAAGAGACCAATATGACAAATCAGGGTTCTTGAAACTCTGCGCCTGCACGTTGCGGGTCATCAGGGACGAGTCCCTACGCTTCAGCATACAACCTCTGCCTAAGTAACGGTGCGGGTCGGTGACAATGGCACATGCACGAGACAGACCACGGAGCTCCATTGCTCTAGACCAGATAGAGTACTGTATCCCAAGACTCCGAGACAAACCTTCCAAAGTATGAGCGGGCATCGCCTGGTGGAGGTCCTCGGGCATCACCAAGGGGGCCTCCAGGAAACTGGGAGCGGCGGCAGCCATGTAACTCAACCAATGGTTATCAGGTCCATACGCTTCAGGGATCTCCAGGGGCTTCACACGGAGACAGACGGGTTCCACCATAGCCTCAAGATCCAACAGCACGTCCAGGCACGCATGGGTCTTGAACGGGGACAGGAGGTCGGCGGAGACTCGCAGATATCCAGACAACCGATTCGAACAGACAACATAGTCAATCAAGGTCTCACCAACCGAACAGGTGAACTCAACGTTTTTGGGAACCAGGGCCCTAGCGTCCATCAGCTCCAAGATACCCGAATCCTCCAGGAAATCGGCAGACATGTTGTAGTCCCCCATCAGGAACCACGGGATAGACAGCCCACGGACAAACTCGGCAACTGCACGAAGCCGAGATGAATTCTCACCAGAGACTCCAATGGAAGGAATGAGGTAGATCACACCTACTGCAACAGTGCATGACTTCATACGCATCTCAAGGAAGAACCAACAATTTCCTGCTCCAACCTGGACTGCACCCTTAGCTTGAATCAGGAACTTCCGTATGCACAACCTGGGCTGTACAGCAGCCCCGACTCCTCCATGAGTGCCTCCACCTGGGGACGGTAAAGCACTCTGGAAATGAGGATTCCACTTCATCTGCCGACAGGTCTTCTTGGCACGGAACAGGTTCGTCCCTTCAAGGTGATGTTCCGCCATGAACACTCCATCCACCTCAGCGACCTTAGTTGCCAAGAAGTCCTGAGTCAGCTTGGACCACTGTGTGATATTCACAAATTTAAACTTGACCTGAGTGCTCGCAGCTGGCAACTGACAAGGTGCTAGCGAGCATGTGCCTTCGGCTCGCTGGGCCGAAGGCAACAGATCATTAAAGAGGCTGCTGCGAGCGGGCGTCAGAGGCGGCAGCACGCCCAGCGCCTTTCGCAGCGGGAGCAGCATCAGGGAGATGTCCAGGTGGTACGGCTGCGGCCGCACGAGGAACCCCCATCTGCTTGGCCGTGGCATCACAGAAATTGCGGTACATGTCGGCCGTGACGGAGGACACCACTCTGGCACGCTTGCCCGCCTTCGCCATGATGCGCTTGGAGAGGAGGTCGGTATACTCCTGGGCCGCCTGCACGTCCAGTCCCTGCTCCACCGCACGCCTCTTGAGGTCACGGTACCTGTCGCGATCCTGGGGCTCCATGTCGTTGTCGGCAACCTCACTGCCCAGGTCGGAAAGGTTATCTTCATCGCCAACGCCTCGCATCCGCTGCAGATGGAGACGGTACTGCTGCCACTGCTCGAGGCCAATGGCCGAGGAGGCAACCAGCTTCTCGAGGTCGTCATCGGAGAAGGTGTGCAGGTTGGCCTCAACGAACATGTAGTCCACAACCTTGCCGCGCAACCAAGGGACATCAGCATCATCCTCGTCCATGGGCTGTGGCTCCTGCATGGGCTGCGCCTCCACGCCGCCGCTGGCCTGGGCACCTGCTCCCGCGGCGGCCGCGTCTCCAGTGCCTGGGGCACGAGAGGCGGCCGCAACGCCCGCTGGGGCGGTGGCGGGTGCTGCACCGAGGAGGCCAGCGGCGGGGGGCACTGAAGCAGCAGCGCGAGCATCCGCGGCAGCACGAGCCTCTTCGGCGGCACGCTGACGACGGCGCTGCTCAACTTCATGACGCTTCTCCTTCTTGAAGGTCTGTACATCGAATGAGGCCTTACGTTCATTAGCTTCACGAGTGGTGGCTCGAGCCTGCTCCAGCTCCTGTACCGCCTCCAAGTGCAAGCTCTGTGCCTCTTCCATATGCTTCTTCGCCTTGTTGAACCTGTCCAGCCGCCACTGCACCTCCTGGTGCGCCAGGCGCTCAGCCTTGGTGGCCTGCTCGACGGTCTTGGCGAGGGAAGTCTGTTCCGCAGCTGCCATACGATCCAATTCCACGTCAGTATACTCCTGCAGCGGAGGGGCCGGCGGCGCAGCTGCTTCACGAGCGACGCCAGCAAGAGCGGGGTAGTGCGCGGCCCACCGTTCAAGCTCTTGGAGAAGATGGGGTGGCATGGGCACCGCAGCAGCACCCGGTGCAGCCCCTCCAGGACAAGGATCAACCACATCACCATCATGTGCAGCAGACGGTAGGTACTGGCCACCGCACCTGCTGCATGCGCGGTGGCCATGGTAGAGGAACTCCCAGTGCGCGCAGAGGCTGCAGACACCGTAGGAGAGGTCCTTCTGCTTCTTCTTCTTGTTCTTGGGCTTGGGGGTGGCTGCGTCCATGTCATCCTGCCAGACCCATCCACCTTTGGGCGCATCACCTCCTTGGTTGCGGCGGCCATCGCCACGCCAGGGAGCATTGCCACGCCAAGCCATGCCGAGAGAAAGTGGGAGTATGTGGAAAAGGAACGCCAGGCCACAAGTGGCCTTGCCTGCCGCGGATTAGCGGTATCCAGTCTTGCCAATGCGGGCTCAGCCCGCGGAAGCATCAGCCTTGAGCCAAAATGGCTACGGAGGCGCTGCCACGTGGCGAGCAGAGTGAGATTGTAGATGTTCGGCCCGCACGGCACTGCCATGTGCTGAGTAGAGCGGAGTTATACATCTCGTTCGCGGCGACGTTCGAGGGGACGGCTGGCCTTTTCGGCGGCCGACGCACGGGCGGCGCACGGGCGACGAATGCGTGACGCACCTCTTGTCGCGAAGCGGGGGGGTCATCACGCCGGTCGTCTTACTGGGCCTTAACATTGCCATGTGTTGAGTAGAGCGGAGTTATACCTTTCGCTGGCCCCCCCACGTCGTTGCCACACGGCGAGTGGAGTGGAATACGCAGCATCTTCGTTTGCTTCCCAGGCCCTGCCACGTAGTGTTGCCATGTGGCGAGTAGAGTGGAGCAGCAGTTGTTATTGTCCCGCTGCGTTGCCACGTCCCGAAGAGTGGAGTAAGTTTGTTTCGCCCAGCAGGCGCTGCCACGTGGCGACTACAGTGGAGTAGCGTTTGTTCCCCCCTCCGAGCGTTGTCACGTGGCGAGGAGAGTGGAGCGGTATTTGTTTCGTTCCACCAGCGATGCAACGTGGCGAGTAGAGCATACATATAACGGCGCACCCGACCCGGGGGCCGAGAGCCGGAACTTCGACCACAAATGTGGGCCCCGGGGCCCCGGCCCGCTTTTGGGAAGCTTAAAATCGCCCGGGGGAGCCTTCAGACAGCAATCCCGGCGGCCCCAGACGGTCTCGAGACACCCCCAAGTCGCCGTCCAGGGGTCTATGGCGACGCACGATGCGTTTTGGACTGCCCCGGAGGCCCCCAAGACGCCCCAAGAGGCCTTTAAGATGCCGCGGCGGCATCTCTTGGGCGGCACTGCCGCCCAAGAGCGCCCCGAGAGAGAAAATCATCGATTGTGATTGTTATTGTTACTTAAAAGCGAAGACTTATAGGTTTCTAGTAGGCTCAAAAGAAAGCATCTTGACTCCCCAGAGGGGGTCTGGGCAGGTGCCGGACGAGTGCCAGGGAGAATCCGCGGAAATCGTTTTAAGCAAACAGTTACACACTTCGTGGTCTTCGAGGTCCCAGAACTCCATTCCTGGGCATGATTTTGAATGCCCGGAGCCAACTGTAGGCCACTTCGTGGTCTTCGAATTCCAAGAACTCCATTCCTGGGCATGATTTTGAATGCCCGGAGCCAACTGTAGTTCACTTCGTGGTCTTCGAGGTCCCAGAATTCCATTCCTCGGCATGATTTTGAATGCCCGGAGCCAACCGTAGGCCACTTCGTGCTCTTCGAGTTCCGAGAACTCCATTCCCGGGCCACATTTTGAATGCCTGGAGCCAACTGTAGGCCACTTCGTGGTCTTCGAGGTCCCAGATTTTCGCTCCTGGGCATGATTTTGAATGCCCAGAGCCAACCGTAGGCCACTTCGTGTTTTTCGAGATCCCAGAATTCCACTCCCGGGCCACATTTTGAATGCTGAGGCAGGCTGATGCTGAGGCTGAAGCAGGCTGAGGCTGAGGCAGGCCGAGGCTGAGGCCGAGGCTGAAGGCAGACTGAGGCTGAGGCTGAAGCAGGCTGAGGCTGAGGCTGAGGCAGGCTGAGGCTGAGGCTGAGGCTGATGCAGGCTGAGGCTGAGGCAGGCTGAGGCTGAGGCCGAGGCTGAAGGCAGACTGAGGCTGAGGCTGAAGCAGGCTGAGGCTGAGGCTGAGGCTGAGGCTTAGGCTGAGGCAGGCTGAGGCTGAAGCAGGCTGAGGCAGGCTGATGCTGAGGCAGGCTGAGGCTGAGGCTGAGGCTGATGCAGGCTGAGGCTGAGGCAGGCTGAGGCTGAGGCCGAGGCTGAACGCAGACTGAGGCTGGGGCTGAAGCAGGCTGAGGCTGAGGCTGAGACAGGCTGAGGCCGAGGCTGAAGGCAGACTGATGCTGAGGCTGGCAGGCTGAGGCTGAGGCAGAGGCAGGCTGAGGCTGAGGCAGGCTGAGGCTGAGGCTGAGGCTGAGGCAGGCTGAGGCTGTGACTGCGACTGCCGTTGCCACTGCGACTGTTATCGCGAATGCGACTACGACTGCGAGAACAGCAGAATTCTACAAATGAATCTTAAGGGGAATGCTTCCAGATATGCTCCTACACATCGCTGTTAGGTTGCTTTGCCGGGATAATCAATGTTTTTACCTAACAGCGAAGACTGATAGGTTTCTAGTAGGGTCAAAAGAGAGCATCATGACTCCCCAGAGGGGTCTGTGCGGGATCCGGGGGAGGATGCCGGGGATTTTTTAAAAGCCAACAGTTACACATTTCGTGGTCTTCGAGGTCCCAGAATTCCATTCCCAGGCCACATTCTGAATGCCCGGAGCCAACTGTAGGCTTCTTCGTGCTCTTCGAGTTCCCAGAACTCCATTCCTGGGCATGATTTTGAATGCCAGGAGCCAACCGTAGGCCACTTCGTGCTCTTCGAGTTCCCAGAACTCCATTCCCGGGCCACATTTTGAATGCCCGGAGCCAACTGTAGGCCACTTCGTGGTCTTCCAGTTCCCAGAATTCAATTCCTGGGCATGATTTTGAATGCCCGGAGCCAACCGTAGGCAACTTCGTGTTCTTCGAGTTCCCAGAACTCCATTCCCGGGCCACATTTTGAATGTTGAGGCAGGCTGAGGCTGAGGTTGAGGCTGAGGCAGGCTGAGGCTGAGGCAGGCTGAGGCTGAGGCCGAGGCTGAAGGCAGACTGAGGCTGAGGCTGAAGCAGGCTGAGGCTGAGGCTGAGGCAGGCTGAGGCTGAGGCTGAGGCAGGCTGATGCTGAGGCAGGCTGAGGCTGAGGCTGAGGCTGATGCAGGCTGAGGCTGAGGCAGGCTGAGGCTGAGGCCGAGGCTGAAGGCAGACTGAGGCTGAGGCTGAAGCAGGCTGAGGCTGAGGCTGAGGCAGGCTGAGGCTGAGGCAGGCTGAGGCTGAGGCTGAGGCTGAGGCTGAGGCTGAGGCTGAGGCTGAGGCAGGCTGAGGCTGAGGCCGAGGCTGAAGGCAGACTGAGGCTGAGGCTGAAGCAGGCTGAGGCTGAGGCAGAGGCAGGCTGAGGCTGAGGCTGAGGCAGGCTGATGCTGAGGCAGGCTGAGGCTGAGGCTGAGGCTGCAGGCTGAGGCTGAGGCTGAGGCTGAGGCTGAGGCAGGCTGAGGCTGAGGCAGGCTGAGGCTACTGAGGCTGAGGCTGAGGCTGAGGCTGAGGCTGAGGCTGGCTGCAGGCTGGCTGAGGCTGAGGCTGAGGCTGAGGCTGAGGCAGGCTGAGGCTGAGGCAGGCTGAGGCTGAGGCTGAGGCAGGCTGAGGCTGAGGCTGATGCAGGCTGAGGCTGAGGCAGGCTGAGGCTGAGGCCGAGGCTGAAGGCAGACTGAGGCTGAGGCTGCAGGCTGAGGCTGAGGCTGAGGCAGGCTGAGGCTGAGGCTGAGGCTGAGGCTGAGGCTGAGGCTGAGGCTGAGGCTGAGGCAGGCTGATGCTGAGGCAGGCTGAGGCTGAGGCTGAGGCTGATGCAGGCTGAGGCTGAGGCAGGCTGAGGCTGAGGCTGCTGAGGCTGAGGCAGGCTGAGGCTGGCAGGCTGAGGCTGAGGCTGAGGCTGAGGCTGAGGCTGAAGCAGGCTGAGGCTGAGGCTGAGGCAGGCTGATGCTGAGGCAGGCTGAGGCTGAGGCTGAGGCTGATGCAGGCTGAGGCTGAGGCAGGCTGAGGCTTAGGCCGAGGCTGAAGGCAGACTGATGTTGAGGCTGAAGCAGGCTGAGGCTGAGGCTGAGGCAGGCTGAGGCTGAGGCTGAGGCTGAGGCTGAGGCTGAGGCTGAGGCTGAGGCAGGCCGAGGCTGAGGCTGTGACTGCGACTGCCGTTGCCACTGCGACTGCCATCGCGAATGCGACTACGACTGCGAGAACAGCAGAATTCTACAACAGGATTCTCATCTGAATAGTATGGGGAATGCTTCCAGATATGCTCCTACACATCGCTGTTAGGTTGCTTTGCTGGGATAAGTTGCATTCTCGCTGTTTCGTGTTTCCGTCGCTAAAGCACCGCCCAAGAGGCTCCCAACACCGCTCCAAGACGGCCCAAGAGGGCCCCAAGACGGCCCAAGAGAGCCCCGAGACGGCCCCAGAGCCGCCCAAGATGGCGCAAGAGGGTCCCAAGAAGGCCCCAAGAGGGGCCCAAGAGAGGGAACGCGAACTGATGAAAAATAAAGCTTTCCGCCCCAAGATGCCCCTATGAGGCCCTAAGAGGCCCCCAAGAGGCCTCAAGAGGCCCCCAGGAGGCCCCAAGAGGCCCCCAAGAAGCCAAACAGAGGCTCGAAGAGAGCCCCGAGACGGCCCAAGAGCCGCATCGCGCTATCCTTCGCTACGCGCTGTCCTTCAAGCTAGCTAGAACTTGAGCGCGTGCAAACCGCGCGCGATGGTTCTATATACGGCACCCAATTCGGCACGATCCCTCTTCACAGAACTATGTTTCCGCGCCCCCGAGCCCACGACGCCTCGTCTCAAAACACATCTGCGCTCCAGGGGCCACGATCATGTGTAAAGCACTATGGGGCCGCGCTTCCGAAGCCACGATCCCTAGCCAAAAAAATAAATGATACAACGCTACTGATGCCACTTTACCGAATAACGAACCATGGATCCGCGCTTCCGATGTCCACCACTTCCGCAAGTTCCTGGGAGCCCAGCGGAGTGACGTCCCTCGGGGGCCCAAAGAGACCTCGCCAGGTCCGCAGATGTCGCCACTTTTGTAAGCTCCTGGGAGGTCCAGCCGAGTGACGTCCCACGCGAGCCCGGAAAAGGGACCTCGCCCTCCCTGGGACCTGCGCAGCTGATCGCCATTTTCGTGAGCTCCTGAGAGGCCGAGCGCTGTGACGTCCTACGGAGCCCCAAGTGGGACCCTGCCCTGCCTGGGTTCTGCCAACTGCGCAACAGGCGCCACTTTCGTGAGCTACTCGGAGCCCCATCGGAGCGACGTCTTAGCAGGACCTAAGTGGGACACCTGCCTGCCTGGGCTCTGCCCTCTGCGCGAATGTCGCCACTTTCGTCAGCTGCTGGGAGGTCCCGCGGAGCGAAGCCCCACGGGGACCCAAACGAGGCCTCATCATCCCTGAGCGCTGGCAACCGCGCAACTGTCGCCATTTTCTTGAGTCCCTGGGAGGCATGGTCGAGGGAAGCCCCTCGCGGAGGCAAATGAGCCTCGCCTCGGGCCAAAACCATCGCCCCAACACAGCCCAAGAGACCCCCCAGAGGGCGCCAGGACGGTCCCAGGACAGTCCCAGAGGCAGCAGAGAAGGCCCGAACGGCCTCCCAAATTCCAGAGTGTTGGAGCCTGGGCCCATGGCCGGCACACCCTCCCGGGTTCCCGCTTTTTTTTTGTTTTCCTTTTTTGCCCCCCCCTCCCCCTTCCCCCCCCCTTCCAAAGCCTCATGGGCCTCCCCCTGGCCACCCACCCCGGCCGCCCAAAACGCCTTCCATGTGGACGCGAATAGGCGACGAAAGCGGCGCAATACGGCCCAAGACGCCCCGAGATGGCTTCAGGATGGCCGAAGAGATTCCAAGAGGCCTCCCAGACGCCCCTAGGAAGGCTCCAAGATGCTCCCCAAGAGGGCTCCGAATGGCCCAAACTACCCCATTCCATTTGGGATGTTCATTGTTCAGCATATTGGGTTGTCAGGTCATCACAGCGGCAAGGACGGCTCAAGAGGCCACGAAGATCGCCCTAAGACAGCTCAAAATGCCCCCAAGAGAGCTCCAAGACGGCCCAGGAAAGCCCCAAGTCGGTCGAAGAGGCGCCCAGGACGGCCCAAGATGGCCCCACGAGGGGCCAAAGAAAGGGAACTCCAGCTCACACGCCGAGCCCTCCGCCCCAAATTGACTCCCCAGACCGCCAGCAGGCTCCCAAGAGGCCCCCACGAGGCCCGAAGGAGGCTTCAAGAGCCCCCAAACAGCCCTCGAGAGGCCCCGAGAGGCTCCAAGACTGGCTCCCAGGGGCGCCCGAGAATCACGCCAGGAGGCCCCAACGGGTATCCAGGAAGCCTCTGACCCACAACCCAGGCACGGTGGCAGTAGGAGCCGCGAGCGGACAGCACGCCACCCTGCAGTCCAGTCGGGTTTGCTTCGCCTCCGCGGGCGCTCCGCGTCGCGCCAGCTTTGGGGGGGCGCGAGGACCGAGGAACGTGGCCTTGGCCGGCGGGCCGTCTCCGTGGCCCGCCGCCCGGCAACGGGGCGGGCCATTCGTAGCCCGCCGCGTCGCCCACGACATTGCGCCCGCGGTCGAGGAGGGGAGGCCTGGGGGCTCTCAAGATGGAAGCCTCGGTGTCCCGAGGCGCCCCACCCCCGCCGCGAGACGCGGTCAAGGTTGGGTCCCGGGGGGGGGGGGGGGGAGGTTTCAGGATTGAAGCCGCAGCGCCCCGAGGCGCCCCCCTGGCCGCGAGACGCGGTCAAGGGGGGGCGCCGGGGAGGCGTTCTAGAGGACCGCAGAGCGAGGAGCGAGGAGGTTGGTTGGTTCTCCTGGTGTCCGCTCGAGTCCCCACTCTTTGTCTCTCTCTATCTCTTGACTCCTCGGGCATCCCCCCGTCGCATCTTGAGGCGCCCCTCCCCGGCCGCGAGACGCGGTCATAGGGGGCGGGGCCCAGAAGGCGCTCGAGGTTGAAACAGCGGTTTCCCGAGGCGCCCCCCCCGGCCGCGAGAAGCGGCCAGGTGCCCGTGGCGCGCTCAAGATTGGAGCCGCGGGCGCCCCCCCTGGCCGCGAGACGCGGTCGGGAACTGGGGGGCGCTCAAGGTCGAAGCCGCGGTGTCCCGAGGCGCTCCCCCCCCGCCGCGAGAAGCGGTCAAATGGGGATGCCCGGGGGACGCTCAAGGTTGAAGCCGCGGTGCCCCGAGGCGCCCCCCCGCCGCGAAACGCGGTCGATGGGGGGGGCGCCCGGGGGCGCCTAAGGTTGAAGCCGCCGTTTCTCGAGGCGCTCCCGCGGCTTCGAAGCGCGGTCAAGGCCGGGGAGGGGGGGGGCCCAGGGCGCGCTCAAGTTTGAATCCGCAGTGCCCTGGACGCCCCTCGTCCGCGGCGCGCGATTCATGGGGGAGCGCCCGGGGGCCTTCGCCGTGAGGTGTTCTTTCACCACGTTCATGATGGCATTTGCGCCCTGTAAGAACGGTTTTTTGAAGGCAGATCTGCCTTCAAAGTAAGAACGGTTTTTTGAAGGCAGATCTGCCTTCAAAAAGAACGGTTTTTTGAAGGCAGATCTGCCTTCAAAAAATGGTCTACTCTGTAAGAACGGTTTTTTGAAGGCAGATCTGCCTTCAAAAAACCGTTCTTACAGAGTAGAGCAGCCACATGCATGACCGGTTCAATCAATCTACGCCCAGACGGTGCCAAGGGCGCCCAAGATGCCCCAAGAGAGGCCCAGGAGGGCCCCACGAGAGGTCCGTAGCCGTTTTGGTTCAAGACGTGACCTTCTCACGTGCCTGTCGCATTCGACATCTCATTCAGAGTGCCGTTCAAGTGCCAAACCGAGATGGTAGACTTCGGGTGCATGTTCACACGTTTGATTGTGAATGTTCGTTTTTTACCGGGAGGCGCTTTGCGAGTTCAGAACAGTCCCAGCGAGCAGGAACACCATAGCGATCACAGTGTATCTCCGGTGGGATTCGGGCAGGCGATGAGCGCGCGAGGTCTCAGCCGACATAATTCCCTACCTAGGCTCTGCCTAGAAGGGTTCTTACTCTCTTGGCCTAAAGGGCCAGGTAGTGGGAACCGGCCCGGGCGGTTCCCCTAGTATCCGCCCCGCGGTTCCCCCAGTTACGTCCCCTTAGCTTAGCGTTGCTTATCCCATCTTAGCTTAGCTTATTTCATCTTAGCTTAGCTTAGCTTCATATTAGCTCAGGTTTGCCTTAGCTTAGCTTACCTTCATCTTAGCTTCTCTGAGCTTTAGCATAGCAGAGCACAGCATAGCATAGCGTAGCATAGCATAGCGCAGCATAGCATATCATAGCATAGCCCAGCATAGCATAGCATAGCGCAGCATAGCATAGCATAGCATAGCATAGCGCAGCACAGCACAGCACAGCATAGCACAGCGCAGTATAGCATAGCATAGCATAGCATAGCATAACATAGCAGCAAAGCAAAGGCAAAGCAACAGCAGCGACAGCAAAGCAAAGCACAAGCAACGCAAAGCAAAGCAAAAGCAATTAGCATGGGTGTAATTCCCTTCCTAGGCTCTGCCCAGAGGGTTAGTTTAGCTTAGCATAGCGCAGCGCTGCATTAGCATAGCATAGCATAACATAGCCAAGCATAGCATAGCATAGCATAGCATAGCGCAGCATAGCATAGCATAACATAGCATAGCGTAGCATAGCGCAGTTTAGCATAGCATAGCATAGCATAGCTTAGCATAGCACAGCGCAGCATGACATAGCATAGCTTAGCATAGCACAGCACAGCATAGCATAGCGCAGCATAGCATAGCATAGCATGGCATAGCGCAGCATAGCATAGCATAGCATAGCATAGCATAGCAACTAATGCTGCTTTCCTAGGGGTTCCAACTTCTAGGTAGAGTCGCATTGGGGTAATTTTAAACATGTGTTTTTTCTTTGCGACGTGGAGTGATCGCCAATGTTTGACCGGTGGAGATTGAGAAGTGGCTGAATAGTTTGTTTGACGGCTATACCCAAAGCAAGACATGGACGTTTGGATTGGCGATGCAGACGGTTATCCCGTACCGACCACATTTGAAAACCCGAACAGGGACGAGAAACATCAATTTCCTTACCCGAGGGGCTATGACATGTGGATGAAGCCCCATAACATGGGAACGCTTTGGCAACAGTGTTTGGACATGCTTCCGGACAACTGCACCATTATCTCAAGACTTCGCCCTGGCAGGCGTTCCCCCGAACATGTCAGGCTGACTGCGCCCCCGACGAATGTCACAATTACCAGGGGCAATACAGGTGCCTCCTTTATTGTTCAGCTCGACAGCAAATGCAGTTTGTCCACCCCTCAAATTTTCCTATAGCGTCGGACATATTCCAGACATCCTTGATGACAGATTTGCTTTTGGTTTGGTTAAACCATTGAAGATAGCTTTGGGGGTGATGACGCATCGGGCTGACGAGGGCCAGCACGACGTTTCGGATAAGGAGCACGAGCAGCGACGGGCCTTGTGAAATTGAGATTGGGGAAGACAGGCGAGGGAGTCCTTATCAGTTCATGAAGCGAAAGGGCTATTATGCCTGGGAGCGTTACCCAGATAAGTTGTTGGCGCACCACGTATTAAGCAGCAATTTGAACGATGCCCTCATCCGAGATCTTATTATTGACCTCTGGTGGGTTGGTAGCACGGGCGTCCGTTGCGGATCAGACGTCGGTTGCGCAGTGGAACACCGCGACGCAAGCAGGCGTTTCGATAGGGATCGCGATGCCAACTGACAGAATGCGCGGCTGCTACAACCCTCGTCACAAATAAACTGAAGGATTCTGTTTTCGGTGATTGCATGGTCAGCGCTACTCCAGTGCTGACGCTAGATATCTGACGTGGACGCAAGGGCTTCAAAAATCCGACGACCCCTCCGCAGCATTGAAGAACGCTAGATATCTGACAGAATGCGCGGCTGCTGGCAGTGACAGAAGTTTTCACACAATCACTCGGCACGCCACTCGCGCAGGGGCGCGTCGGGCTGCTGGGCCGATTTGCAGGCGAGCTCCGCCTGCGGCGGGCCCTTACATGGCCCCAAAGATTTCAAGAAACCCCAGAAGCTCCCGAGTGGCACCGAGGAGACGCCCAGAGGCCCCCAAGAGGCATTGCAGAGGCTCCGAGGGGCTCATGATAATCACGCCGCGAGCCTACGACAGGCGTCCAAGACGCCCACAAGACGCCCCCGACAAATGATCCATGTCAGGGGGGTGCCGATGGGGCCGTCGGTTTTGGGGCACACTCCGCGTGGGGAGCGAATCGAAATACGCGGGGGAGGCGCCATGCGAATAATCCCACTAGGGCAGCGCGTGGAACAACATCTTTCTGGGACACGATCCGTGTGAAGGATGTGCCGAGATGGGCGGAGGTACGCGTGCGAAGTTCGTCCCTGGCACTGCCAGTGGAGCTCCTCGGGGGGGGGGTGCGATCCGCGCGAGAGGCGTGCCGAGATTGGCGGGGCGATGCTATGTATGTGATTCGCGTGGGTTGTATTTTTGCAACCTCGAGGTCAAAACATGTGTGGGTCACTACTTCAGTCAAGGGCCGCGGCTTGTTAGAACCTGGGGTGCGCTTCTTGCCGCCGCCACCGTCGCGGTGTCTCCGCTGCCTCCGTTTCGCCGCGGGCGTCCGGTGCGAGTTTGGCGCCGCGCGCGCCAGGCTCCACCCCTGCCAGGCCAGCAAGGGGCTTCTTGGAGCCCACTTCGACGCCACTCTTGGGGCTGCTCGTGAGCCCTCACGCCTTGCACGTCGGGCTACGAGGGCGTTGTTTTGGGCTTTCTCGTTCTGGCGCCATCGTCTGGCTTTCTTGGAGCGCCTCTTGGGTCCCTCCTGTGCCCCGCTCGGGCCCCCCTTGGAGGCCCTTGGAGCCTCTTTCGGAGAGCTCATTCACTGTTCTTGGGTGCCCTTTGGCCCTGTCTTGGGCTCCCCTCGGGGTGCCCTTGGCCTTTTTCTAGGGCGACTCGTCCCTGAGGTACCTGAGTTCCTGGAATCATGTTCGGTAGTCTGCACGATGTTGCATCCTGTTGCTTTGTGTTCCGTTGGGTTGCTTCCCGTTGCAGGTGCATTTGAATTGCTGCGTGATCCACATTTCACTGGCGAGCATTGCTCTGCGTTGCGTTGCTTTGCATTGCGTTGCATGCCATTGCATTGCTGTACATGTGTTATGATAACTTGTGCTTGTAACGCTGCGAGCCGCATTGGACCCGCATCTGGTTTGATTCCATGCCAATGCAGTGCACTGCCCTGCCGTTTTTGTCACCATTGCTGTCAATTGTGTGCACATCTTCGCATTGAATATTTCCCTACCCTCCTGCGTTGGGTTCTCGTTTTGAATAGAGCAGCTGCGGTCGCGACTCCTCTCCTCTCCTCTCCCGCCCCCTCCTCCTTTCCTCTTCCCCCCTGCTTCCTACCTCGCTCGCTCCTGCGTGCCAGTTTGTCTCCTACCTCACCATCCCTGGGGAGCTGCGATCTGCGAAACTGTCGCCACTTTCGAGGGCTGCTGGGGGGGCCCAGTGGAGTGAGGTCATACGCAGATTCAGATTAGACCTCGCCATCCTTGGGGGGCTGCGATCTGTGAAACTGTCGCCACTTTCGAGGGCTGGGCTGGTGGGGGCCCAAAAAAAGGGAGGGGGGGTCCAGGGGGTAGGTAGCAACTCGGGGAAAAGCCCCCCAAGCGGTGGCACGTGGGGAAGAGCTTGTGGAGGATCAATCGGCAGGAGTAGGGCAAGGAGGATAGGAGGTGAAGGTAGACGACCAGGCAGACGAGGATGGGGAGAAGATGGAGCGAGGAGGAGGAGGAGTACGACGAGTAGTTAGAGGATAATGACTGCTTCCTCGTCTCCTCCCTCTCCTTCATCTCGTCGCCTCCGGGCCCGAGCCTCGCCACAAGGGCGCAGTCCGTGGGCAATCAGCCCTAAGGCGCAGTAACTCGCATGAGGGCCATCCTGCTGGTAGGCCCACCTGGACGGCTGCGCAAGGTCGGTTCTTGGGCGCATGGAGCGAGGGTTTGTGATATTGGGCTGGCCTCCGGCCAGTGCCACCGATCCGGGGGGGCTCCGGAAGTGGAGTTTTCTATACCCCCTTGTCCCCGGGTACCGAAAAACGTCGGAAATGGCGTCGGAAATATCCCTGTGTACCGAAAAACGTCGGAAATGACGTCGGAAATAACGTACGCCCCCCCCCCCCCTCCCTGCAGAGCGAAGCTTGAGCGAGCTTAAGTCCACGCTTTCAGAAACTCACACGCCGGATCGGCGGATTTCAGTGGAATGCCCATCGCAGGGCAATCCTTGAGCAGGCCACTGTCACCTACCTAGCAGGTCGCTGCTCGCGCATGCTCGCGCAGGAGCGGCGGTGTCCGGAGTGCGCCGCGGAGAAGGGGAAGGAGGCAAACGTTAGAAACGCCTTGCGCAAGGCAAGACCAGATGCAGCCGGGAAGCGGGAGTTGCACAGCGCCTCGTGCCACGTGATGTCCGCGTGGCACGAGCACATCACCCGGACCCAACGAAGGCCCATTGTGCCAGGGCAAGAGAGTAGTGTGCAAGAATTGCGTAGAGAAAGAATTCACGGCCAGATTTTGGGAGGCGTTCTGGTGTTCGGGTATGTGCAAGGAGCAGTTGCCCCGCAGTCTGTTCGCCGCGCACGGTGCTAACTTCGCCCGCGCTGCTCCAGAGGCACCACTGCCCACTGGCCCGTCGCTCTCGCAACCGCTGGTCCCCGCATCGCTGCCGCCGCTTGCCCGTCCTGCACGCCCTGACCCCGACGCTGTAGCTGATGGCAGTTGGCTCCTCATTCTCGTCGTCCTCGTTTGCCTCGCCGTCGCATATCACGTCATTGTACCCAGAGTGTGCATCTGGGAGCTCTTTAGAGAACCACCTTGGCCCTCGTTGGCTGTCTGCGCGGCCCCACGAGACAACCGCCGGCCTCGAAGCGAACCTGTCCCAGATGGCAGCATCTCCAGTGGGGGGTCGGGGGCCGGATTCCGTAGTTTGCATTGTTGTTTCGATCGTACTTTCATGTAAGCAGGTTGGTTGTATGGGTTATTGACTCAGGTAATGGTCTCCCGAATGCTATGGTCTCTCTTTGATGGTCTCCTCTATGGTCTCCCTCGTAGGCTTCTGTATGGCCTCACGTACTCCCCTTTTGCGCCCACACGTTTTCCCTTCGGGTCTCCCTTCTGGTCTTCGTTATAGTCTCCCGTGTTGCCGCCTGTTTGTTTTCCCGTCTGGTGTACCGTTTGGACTCCCATGGTCTCCTTGACGTTCTCCTGTATGGTCTCACTTCTGGTTTACTCCAGATTTCGTAATAAAGGGAGGGGGGTCTCATTTCGGGGGGGGGTCTCTTCCAGGCTATCTTGGAGGGCCTGGGGGGGTCTGGGGACGATGTTTTGGAGGGTTCTCCCACGGGGGGGGTCTGAAATGGCTTGTCTTGGAGGGTCCAGACCCCCTCCCTTTTATTACGAAATCTGGAGTACCTTTTTGGTTTCTTTTATGTGTTATGGTCTCCCCTATGGTCTGCAGTATGGTCTCCCGGGCGGTCTTTGGTGTGGTCTCCCGTATGGTTTCCCATATTGCCTCCTGAATCGTCTCCCTTACGGTTTCCCTTGTGACTTCCTTCATGGTCTCCCTTAATGGTCCTAATGGTCTCCCTTATGGTTTCCTTCATGGTCTCCCTTAATGGTCTGCCTTCTGGTGTTCCTCAGGGTCTCCCGTGGGCTCTCCCATACGCTCTCCCGTATGCCCTCCCGCGTGTCATCACGCATGCCTTCTCGCATGTTCTCCAGTACGTGACCCCGCATGCGAAATCCAGGGTGGCGTTCTCTCTGTTGTCCCAACCTTCCCTTGGTTGGGCTCTCGTTTTGAACAGAGCAGCGGGATCTGCACCTTTCTCCTCCTCCTCACCCTGCCCCGCTCTCCTCTCGGCTCTCTGCTCTGGCATCACTCCTGGGGGCTGCGAAGTGTGGAGCCGTCGCCACTTTCGAGGGCTGCTGGGGGAGCCCGCACACTGGGGCCCCACGCAGATCCAAACGGGACCTCGCCATCCCCGGGGGGTGCGAAGTGCGAAGCTGCAACCACATTCGAGGGCTGCCGAAAGAGAGCTAGATCCAACCGGGATTTCGCCATCCTTGGGGGGTCTGCGAAGTGTGACCTTGCAGCCACGTTCGAGGGCTGCTGGGAGGGGGAGCACAGTGGGGCCCCACGCAGATCCAAACGGGACCTCGCCCTCCTCCTCCTCCTCCTCCTCCTCCTCCTCCTCCTCCTCGTCCTCCCGAAGTGTGAAATTGTCGCCACGTTCGAGGGCTGCTGGGGGGGGGGCAACACAGTGGGGTGCCACGGACCTCGCCATCCTTGGGGGGTCTGCGAAGCGTGAAGCTGTAGCCACGTTCGAGGGCTGCTGGGCGGGGTAGCACAGTGGGGCCCCACGCAGTCCCAAACGGGACCACGCCATCTCTGTGAGGGAGTGCGAAGTGTGACATTACCGCCAATGTCGAGGGCTGCTGGGAGAGCCAGCACAGTGGGGCCCCACGCAGATCCAAACGGTACCTCGCCATCCCTTGGGGGCTGCGAAGTGTGAAACAATATCCATGTTCGATAGCTGCTGGGGGGCCAGCACAGTGGTGCCCCACGCAGATCCAAATATGACCACGCCCTCCTTTGGGGGCTGCGAAGCGAAAAACTGTAGCCATTTTCGAGGGCTGCTGGGGGGGGGCAGCACAGTGGGGCCACACGCAGATCCAAAGGGACCTTGCCATCCCTTGGGGGCTGCGATGCAACATGTGAAACTGTCGTCATTTTCAAGGGCTGCTGGAAGGACCAGGGGAACTCGCCATCTCGGGGGGGGCTGCGAAGTGTGAAATTGTAGCCACTGTTTGAGGGCTGCTGGGAGGAGGGCAGCACAGTGGGGTCCCATGCAGACCTCGAGGACCTCGCCATCCCTGAGGGGGGGGCTGGCCGCGCAGGCATTGAGCATTTCAGCACGGAAAACACGACACTTCATCGTCTGGTTGCGTCTCCGCCTATGTAACCTTATCTTGCCCATGTTCCATCTTCTCGCTGCTTTTGCCGAGGCGATTGCTCTTCCACCTCGATATCTTCCTTCTGCTTCCCTTCCCAGAACACTGCCTCCTGGCCTCTTGTACCTCTGTTCTGCGAGTCGGCCACGCACACTTCGCACGATGTAGAAACCCGCCGTGCACCGTCTCTTACAAAGTAGCGGTCACAAAATTGTGGACACACCTTACATCATCCCTTGGTGCCGATGGCTGGGACGTCGCAGGGTAATTCGTTTTGGTGTTCAGGGTCTTCTGCCGCCAGATTGTACTTGGGTTCCTCTGGGCGCCCTGTGGGTGTCTCTGGGGCCGCGTTGGGAGGAGTTCTAAGCTAATTGGGACCCTGTTGGGCCGAGGCCTTCTTGAGGCCCCTCCAGCCGATAAGTTTGGAACCCCATACACAGCCGAGAAACATTTGATTATTTCAAGGTGTGAGCTGGTTTGAGCAATCTGTGACTCCGCTTGGCGACCACAATGGCCTTTTTTGTTTTATTAAATCAGTTCGAGCCATGTTGGGTTCTCTCCTGACATATCTTGGGTAAGCGTGGGCTCCTCCGGTCGCCCCCGTTGGGCCCTCTTCGGATTGTGTTAGGCCCTTTCCTGGGTTCGCGGACGTCTTCCTCCAATTACATGGAATTGGAAGGTGGGACACCAGAAATATACGAAACAACGGGAGGGATAACTGTCGGATTGTCATTGATATAGGCCGTGTGGCGTATTACGTTGGGGCTTTCTTGAGGCCATATGGGATGATTCTGGAGCCTCTTAACCCTTGGGTTATCTCTTCTGCGTTGGGCTATCGTGGGGAGGTCTGGGGCCAGCTTGGGACTGTCTTCGGCGGTTCTGGGGTTTTCTTGAGCCGTCTTGGCCTCCGCCCCGACGCTTTGTGGGAATCTTTTGGGCGCGCGCGTGCAAGCCTCTGCGAAGAATCCGTTGCCGTTCTGGACCTTTCTTGGTGCAGTTTGCGGACGCGTGCTGACACTGGTTTCGTCTCGGGTCTACGGGGGCGGCCCGACAGCGTCCAAAAGTGTTCGAGTCGTCCGGAGCCGAGCCATGTTGGAGCCATCTTGAGGGCGTGGAGTTCCTCCCGTTTCGCGGGGGGTGCACGTCCGGAGCGTGGAAAGTCTGGGCGTTACAACCGCATTCTATGGCAGGCGGAGGAGGACAATGAGGAGGAATTGTGGGTTTGGGGGGCATCTTCGATGCCTCGGGGGCCTCGCGGGACCCACTGGGTTTTCCAGAGCATCCGACGTAGTCCGATCATTCCCTACCTAGGCTCTGCCTAGAAGGGTTCTCACTCTCTTAGCTTAAAGGGGCCGGGCAATGGAAATCGCCCCGGGCGGTTCCCCCAGTCCCCGCCCCGCGGTTCCCCCAAGTCCATTGGGAGCTTTAGCTTTAGCTTTAGCTTTAGCTTAGCTTTAGCTTAGCTTTAGCTTAGCTGTAGCTTAGCTGTAGCTTAGCGTTTTGCTTAGCGTTTCGCTTAGCGTTTCGCTTAGCTTTTCGCTTAGCGTTTAGCTTAGCTTTAGCTTAGCTTTAACTTAGCTTTAGCTTAGCTTGAGCTTAGCTGTAGCTTAGCTGTAGCTTAGCTTTAGCTTAGCTTTAGCTTAGCTTTAGCTTAGCTTTAGCTTAGCTTTAGCTTAGTTTTAGCTTAGCTGTAGCTTAGCTTTAGCTTAGCTGTTGCTCAGCTTTAGCTTAGCTTTAGCTTAGCTTTAGCTTAGCTTTAGTTTAGCTTTAGCTTAGCGTTAGCTTAGCTTTCGCTTAGCTTTAGCTTAGCTTTAGCTTAGCTGTGGCGTAGCTTTAGCTTAGCTTTAGCTTAGCTTTAGCTTAGCTTTAGCTTAGCTTTAGCTTAGCTTTAGCTTAGCGTTACTGTTACTACTAATGCTGCTTTCCTAGGGGTTCCAACTCCTAGGTAGGGTCGCACTGAGATAATGTAAATTTTGAAACCGGTCCGTAGCCAGCATGCGTCAAGTCATCATCACGCCATTCGGGCTGAGATCTGCGCTCTGACTAGCAGGTGCAGACCAGTTTTCCCGTGCCGCGCTTTCGCGCCGGTCACGGCAAACCTGACCAAGCAGCGATGACGCTATTCGGCAGTATGCGATGTAATCCGCGGCGCGTGCATCCGACAGAGGCAGGCCAGGATGGGATAGACGACACACCGTCGACTTGCCCAGCAGAATCTGGCGCATCCCAGGACGACCACCACCAGAACGACGATCGGAAAAAAATTGCCGGCGAGACAGGGGTGAGGCTGCCAGCCCCGTCCAGACAACCGAGCAAGGACAGTTCAGGAAACCGGAGACCCGCTGCGGAAAGTATGATGAACCACGTGAAGGCCGTGCGGGAGGCCTTGCCGACGCTGAAGCCTGGCCTGATAGTGACCAAAAAGAACGCTCAGGTAAACTTGCTGGTCGTCCGCAACCCCAAGGAGTGGTCACACGGGGACGTGGACGGCGGCGCGGGCAAGCCAGGGATAATCTGAAGGGTTTCGCCCTGTGCCGACAGCCCCCCCCTCTCTCGGTGCTTGGATGGCTACGCGTGGTCGGTTGGTTGCCTGATTTTCGTGCTGGCTGGCAGGCTGGCAACTCGGCCGATTGGTTTGTTGTCTAAGAATATGGTTGGCAGTTGGTTTGGGCTGTTCGCTGGCTGGCTGGTTGCGCGAGTCTGTAGTTACTCAGGAGGACTGGTTGGGAAGATTCTTGGCTCCGGGTCCAGTGCCTAAATTTCTGGGAACGTGGTGTGAGCCGAAAAGTGCCCCCGAGCCCATATGCCAATACAGAAAATATTTGTTCTGTGTCTGGAGAGGGGGTGTGGCGCTCTTGGGCAGCGTCCGTAGGGTAGTATCGTGGCCCGGGTATTATCGCAGCCTTCTTGGTGCGCGAATTCGGCGTAATTGCCAAATGAATGTAGCACCAGGGGCGCGAACTTTTCACAATGTGCAAGGGCTATGTCTCCAGGAGTGCGAATGCGTTGTTATTTACAGGGGGCTGCGGCCTCAGGAGCGCGACGGCGTGTTCGTTTGCAAGGCATCTGGCTTCGGCAGCGCGACCGCGACCTCGTTGCAAAAAGGACGGTGGCCTTGAGAACGCGAAAGCGCTGTGATGTACGAGGGGCTGCGGTTGCGGGAACGCGAACGCGCTGTAGTTTACAAGGGGGTGTGACCTCGGGAGCGCGAACGCGTTGTAAAATACTACGCGTTGTTGCTTCGGGAGCGCGCAGGCGGTGTAGTTCAATATGGAATGTACCTTCGGATGCGCGAAAGGAAAAGTAATTAACAGCTTGTGGTTTCGGGTACTCGAATGCGGCGTGATTTGCAAGAGGTTGGATCCTCGGGAGTACGAATCCGTTATACTGTGTTACAGTTGAGACCAGTGGGGCGCGAAGGCGTCGTATCTATCGATGGTGTGTGGCCTCGGGGACGCAAGCGTGACGTAATGTATTAGGGGCCCTGGCTTTGGGACAGCGGAAGTGATGCAAGTTACTGTGGATTGTAGTCTCGTGGGCGCAAACACGTAGTAATTCTTCACTCTTCGCGTATCCCCGCCAGCCCGTTCAGAAACGTAGCCCGGGAGAGCTGACGGGAAAAGGGGCCAAGAGACACATATAGTGAAACATAGCGGGCAACCAGGATGAACTGAGAGACCTTTGGGAGCAAGGGGGTTGCTTTGGAGGGCCTGTTCGGCCCATCCCTGGGGCCCGCGGGGGTGCGAGGGGAGGAGTGGGAGGAGGAGGAGGAGGAGGAGGAGGAGGAAGCGGCAAACCGCACCTTGGAATCCTCTTGGGACGCTCTTGGGCGCTCTTGGGGCAGTTTGGGGGCCCTCTTGGGCCCTCTTGGAAGCCATGCTAGGCTTCTTGGGACTTTGTAGGGCTTCGACTAAAGGAGGGGGGGTCCTACAATTCCTCCACACACACATACAACAAATAAACGCCATCGAAATAGCTTCGTGGGGCCATATTGGGCCGCTCTTTGGCGCTCTTGGGGCCGTCTGGGGGGCCTCTTGGGCCCCTTTTGGATATCTCTTGGGCCATATTGGCGCGCTCTTGAGGCTTCAAAAGATTTCAAAAGTGCATCGGGATCGAAAAGGCGAGAAGGCAAGCATCAGTGATGCTCCTTTGGTGTCTGAAGGATGCTGGCCTCTTGAGGGGGTCCTGAGGGGGAGATCACTTGGAACCGTCTTGCGGCCCTCGTTAGGCCATTTCAAGATATGTCGGAAAGAGCATGTTCTACCGCTGCTGGCGGAAAGCCGAGGGGGGTCACTGGGGGTTCCTAACCCGTCCCCCCCCCCTCGAAAACCAGGGGGGATCACTACCGGTTCGAACCCCCCCACCCAGTCCATCATGAAAAGGGAGGGGGTCATTGCCGGTTCGGGCCCCCCTCCCCCCCCTCGAAAACCGGGGGGGGTCACTACCGGTTCGACCCCCCCCCCTTCGCCCCCCCTCACCGCCGGCAAACGATTCCCGCTCCTCGGGACAGTTGGACAGTGGTGGGGATACTGGGACAGTGGCGGGGAAGGTGGTGGTGGGGACAGTGGTGTGGGGACAGTGGGACAGTGGTGCGGACAGTGGTGGGGACGGTGGTGGTGGGGACACTGGTGAGGGGACAGCGGGACAGTGGTGGGGACAGTGGAACAGTGGTGGGGACCGTAGTGGTGTGGACAGTGGTGAAGGCGGTGGTGAGGACGGTGGGGGACAGTAGTACAATGGGGAGAGTGGTGGGGACAGTGGGGGCGGGGACTGGTGGGAACAGTGGGGACAGTGGGACAGCACAGTGGGACAGCGGCGGGGACAGTGGGGACAGTGGGACAGTGGTGGGAACAGTGGTGACAGTGGGGACAGTGGGACAGTGGTAGGGACCGTGGGGAAAGTGGGGAGAGTGGGTGGTGGGAAAATGGTGGGGAGAGTGGGGACAGTGAGACACTGATGGGGGCACTGGTGGGAACAGCGGGAACAATGGTGGGAACAGTGGGACAGTGGTAGGGACCGTTGGGAAAGTAGGGAGAGTGGGTGGTGGGACAATGGTGGGGAGAGTGGGGACAGTGAGACCCTGATGGGGTCACTTGTGGGAACAGCGGGAACAATGGTGGGAACAGTGGGGACAATGGGACAGTGGTGGGGACTGCGGGACATTGGTGGGGACGGTGGTGGTGCGGACAGTGGTGTGGGGATAGTGGGAATGTGGTGGGGACAGTGGGACAGTGGTGGTTACAGTGATGGTGGGGACAGTGGTGAGGGCGGTGGCGAGGACGGTGATGGGACAATGGGACAAAGGTACACTGGGGACATTGGTGGGGACAGTGGTGGGAACAGTGGGACAGCTCAGTGGGACAGCGGCGGGGACACTGGGACAGTGGGCACAGTGGGAACAGTGGGACAGTGGTGGGGACCGTGTGGAAAGTGGAGAGAGTGGGACCGTGGTGGGAACAGTGGTGGGGACAGTGGGGACAGTGCGACAGTGGTGGGGGCACTGGTGGGGACAGTGGGGACGATGGTGGGAAGAGTGGGGACAGTGGTGGTGGGGGGACAGTGGTGCTGTGGGGGATGTGGTGGACGGTGGTGGGGACCCAGGAGTCGTTTGCCGGCGGTGAGTGGGAGGGGGGGGAGGGAGGTTCGAACCGGAAGTGACCCCCTCCGGTTTTGTGGAGTGGGGGGGTTCGAACCGGAAGTGACCCCCCCCCGGTTTTCCAGAGGGGGGGGGCGGGGGGGTCCAGCAGGGGGGGGATTTTCGAAGGGGGGGGGAACCCCCGGGTTCGGAGGAAGGGGGGGGGGGGACATATTCCACAGTAAAGCGGCGGTGCATCGCGCTCTCTCGTATGTCGGAAGCTCTCTTGAAGCGCCGCCGGCTATCTTGAGCCAGCTTAGATGCCATGTTGGAGCATCGGATGCCCTCTTGGAGCCACGTTGGGCCATCTTGGGCGCCCTGACACCTCGCGCCCCCCCAAACAAAAACACAAAACTCAGGGAGGCTAGGGGGAGGGCACCCTCCCCGAAGGGGAAAGAGTTTCTGGAAGAGATAAGAAAGAATTCGCTAGACCGCCTTAGCCCAAAGGGCTGGTGGGAGTTACGAGGGGTGGCTTCGGGTGCACAAACTCAACGTAAATAACTCTTTGTTGTGGCCTCGCGGGCGCGATTACGCAGCGAATTGCAAATAGGCTGTTGCTTTGGGGCTGCGGCCTCGAGAGCGCGAGCGCACGGCAATCTAAGACGGGTCGTGGCTTCGGAAGCGCGAATCAGTAGTATTGCGAAGGCCTTAGGGCCGGATCCCACCCTTTTGGGGTTCTCTTCGGAGTGGTGTTGGGGCTCTCTTGGGCCTCTTTGGGGGCTCTTGGCAGCTTCTTAGGCGCCTCTTGGGGCTTCCGGGGGGCACCTTGAGGCGGAAGGCTCGAAATGTCGGTTGATGCCCCGCCCCCTCTCAGGAGCCTCTTGGGGCCTTATTTGGCCGTCCTGAGGGCTTCTTGGGTTTTCTTCGGGCCGTCTTGAGCCGTATTCGGGCCATCATGGGCCGTTGTCGGGCGCTTTCGGCAGCCTTACCGTCTTTGAGCAATGTTGGTGGGTTCTTGGGCCGCCTTGGAGCGCCGGAACCCCGAAGAGGCGAGGACGCGAAGTTCCCTGACAATGCACCCAACTTTTGCGCAACGCGTGGCCAAAACAATCGGGTAGACCTCACAGCGGGTTATATCGTGGCAATGAGTCTATTTTCTGCGAGCGATCTTTGGAAGGCTCGCGAGCTGCGCGACTCGCAGGACACCGATAGATGGATAAAGGTATGATGGAGATGAGTTGTACTTCCCTTGGCTCGAAGGGAACGAGGGGCGAAGACTAAAAGGAGAAGGAGAAGACATACGAGGATCTGGACAACCCAGTGGGGCAGCAGCAAGAGAACATGACAACGACAAGGAAGGAAGTGACAACGAGAGAAAGGCAGAGCAAGGAGAGAGATGATGTTTCGAAGCACGCCGCCATTTAGTTCTAGTCAGTGCAAGAGCTGCGCGAACCCGAGCTGCTCTGCCAGCTGCTGGTCCTTTTCCCGGCATTTTCCAATGCGGGATGTAAAGGCGCGCAAGCGCGCCGCGATGTCGAATCTCCTCCTCCTCCTCCCTCCTCCTCCTCCTCCTCCTCCTCCTCCTCCTCCTCCTCCTCCTCCTCCTCCTCCTCCTCCTCCTCCTCCTCCTCCTCCTCCTCCTCCTCCTCCTATGCTGGACCACCAACAGCCTTCGAAAGCGGCGACAGTCTCGCCGGTTGCGGCCCCCCAGGGATGGCGAGGTCGAATTTGCATGTGCGCAGGGCGTCTCTCGGCTGGACCCCCCACAGCTCTGGACGCCCTACATGGGCACTGAAAGAATGCGTACAATGCCCAACAGCAGTTCCTGTTCATTTTGCACAGGGCTCGCTGTCCGCGCCGCCGCGGCCTGTGTCCATTCGAGACAGAAGGCCGCCTGTCCAACAGCGGCCGCTGTTGGTTTGGGACAACATTTGTTGTTGGGCATTGTACCCATTCTTTCGGTACCCATTTCGGGTGTCCAAAACAGCCCTCGAAAGAGGCGGCAGTTTCGCAGGTCGCAGCCCCCCCAGGGATGGCGAGGTCTAGTCTGAGTCCGCTCATGGCGTAAGTGTGCTGGCCCCCCCTACCAGCCTTCGAAACTGGCGACAGTTTCGCAGTCTGCAGCCCTCCAGGGGCGCGGAGGCTTGGTTTGAGCCCACATAGGACATTACTCCGCTGGCCCCCCCTTGCAGCCCTCGAGAGTGGCGACAGATTCGCAGATCGCAGCCCGACAGGGACGGGGATTTCGAATCTGAACTTGCGTAGGGCGCCACCATGCAGCCCTCCAATGTGGCGACAGTTTCGCGCATCGCTGCCCCCCAAGGATGGCGAGGTCGAATTTGAAACAGCGTAGGACGTCACTAAGCTGCCCCCCCCCACACACACACACACCACACACACACACACACACACACACACACACACACACACACACACACACACACACACACACACACACACACACACACACACACACACACACCAGCAGCCTTCGAACATGGTGACAGTTTCGCAGATCGCAGCCCCCCAGGGATGGCGAGGTCGAATATGAATCTGTGTAAGACGCCACGGCGTTGCCCCCCCCGCCCCCCCACCAGCCTTCGAAACTGACGACACTTTCGCAGATCGCAGCCCCCCAATGGCGAGGTCGAATCTGAATCCGCGTGTGGCGACACAGTGGTGGCCCCCCAGCAGCCCCCGAAAGTGGCGACAGTTTTGCCGATCGCCGCCCCCCCCCTAGGGGTGGCGAGGTCTAACCTGAATCCGCGTAAGTCGCCACCGTGCTCTCCCCCCCAGGCAGGCAGCCTTCGAATGTGGCGACAGTTTCGCAGACAGGAGCCCCCCCCAGGGATGGCGAGATCGAATTTGAATCCGCGAAAGACGCCATTTGCTCCCCCCTAGCAGCCTTCGAAAGTGGCGACAGCGTCGCAGATCGAAGCCCCCCAAGGGATGCAAGGTCTACTCTGAATCCATGCTAGGCGCCACTGAGCTGGCCACCCCCTTGCGGCCCTCGAAAGTGGCGACAGCTTCACAGATTGCACACCCCCAGGGATGGCAATGTCTACTCTGAGTCCGCGTACGGCGACCGTGTGTTGACCATCGAGTAGCCCCCGAAAGTGGCAGCGGTTTCGCGTATCGCCGCCCCCTGGGATGGCGAGGTCGAATCTGCATTTGCGTAGGACGTCATTCCGCTGGACCCCCCAGCTGCCCTCGAAAGTGGCGACAGATTCGCAATTCGCAGCTCCGCAGGGATGGCGAGGTCTAGTCGGAGTCCGCATATTGCGTCAGTGTGGTGGCCCCCCCAGCAAACCTCGAACATTGGCGGCAGGTTAGCAGATTGCAGCACCCCAGGGATGGCGAGTTGCAATCTGAATTTGCATGTGGCGACATTGCGCTGGCCCCCCAGCATCCTTCGAACGTGGCGATAGTTCTGCAGACCGCAACCCGCCAAGGGATGGCGAGGTCTAGTCTGAGTCCGCGTATGGCGTCAATGTGCTGGCCCCCCGCAGCAGCCCTCCGAAGTGGCGACAGTTTTGCAGATCGCGCTCCCCCAGAAGCACGGAGGTCTGGTCTGAGTCCACATAGGACGTCACTTCGGTTGACCCCTCTGCAGCCCTCGAGAGTGGCGATAGTTTCGCAGATCGCAGCCCACAGGGACGGCAATGTCGAATTGGCGCCATTATGCACCCCCCGAAAATGGTGACATTTTCGCAGATCGCCGCCCCCCAGGGATTGCGAGGTGTAATCTGAGTCCGCGTATGGCGACGTTGTGTTGCCCCCCCCCCAGCACCCTTCGAAAGTGGCCACAGTTTTGCAGATCGCAGCCCTCCAAGGATGGCGAGGTCTAATCTGAGTGTCAGTGTGCTGGACCCCCCACCAGCCTTCGAAGGTGGCGACAGTCTCGCATCGCAGATCGCAGCCCCCCAGGGATAGCGGGGTCCAATCTGGATTTGCGTGGGGCGTCACTGTGCTGGCCCCCCAGCAGCCTTCGAAAGAGGCGACGCCTTCGCAGATCTCAGTCCCCCAGGGATGGCGAGGTCTAAATCTGAGTCCGCGTATGGTGTCAGTGTGCTGGCTCGCACAGCAGGCCTCGAAAGTGGCGACAGTTTCGCAGATCGCAGTCCCCAGGGATGAGAGAGAGAGAGAGAAAGAGAAAGAGAGAAAAAGGAAGGAAGAAAGGAGGGAGGCGGGAAGAAGGACGCACCCACAGTGCCTTATTCAAAGCGATAGCCCAACGCAGGAGGGTTGCCAAAGACATCGCAAACCAAAGCATAATAACTGATGTTCGCCTCTTGGGCCCTCGTGGGGCTCCTCTTTGAGTCCTCTTGGGGCGTCTTGGGGGGCTTCAAAGGCCGTCTTGGAGCGATCTTGAGTTGTTTCAGGGCCCTCTTGGAGCAAGCCACGGCATTAGTGAGCTCGAGGCGTATGAGAGGCAAGAGATCGAAAAGAAGGAGGCTTCTCCCAGGGAGGGGTGCTCCTCCCCGGGAGGCGAGGGGGTGACAGCCCCCGGGGCCCCCTCCGACCCCCCTGGGGACCCGCCCACCCCGCCTCCCCTTCCCGGCGGGGCGGGGGACGGACCAGAAGGACGGGAGGGAGATCCCGCACGGCCACGGGGCGGGCCCTTAGCACGGGACACGGGAGGAAGACAGCATGCACAGGCTTCCTGCAACACACACAACACACACAACACACGCACCACACCACGACACAGAACAGCACGCACACGAACACCAACGCAACACAACACACATACAACACAACACCACAAGACACGGCACCACAGCACACCCACACGCGCGCGCGCGAATGCTTTCACTCAGATGCCGTCCGTGCACCGGCACGCCGAGCGGCCCGGCCTCCTGTAGGCTACTTGACCAGGCATTGTTGGCCGAATCGACCAATGATACACGCGACAGACGATGCTTGCCGGCTGCTTTGCGACCTTATCGATCAGTCTTCGCCTTTGCTTGCCTCGCGCCTGGCTCCAGACCGCCACGCGAGTGCGGTCCCACTTCTCTCATGCGATACCCTTCAACTCGATTACGACGTTGCTCGATTTCCATGTGGCTGGAACGTTTGAGGAGGGCCCAGGGAAAGGGATAGGGCGGCGACGGCGACGACAGCGACGACGACTCAAATGGAAAAACCCTCCACACACGCCGACAGATTCGGCGGATTTTTACGTGGCCCAGGGCACCGCTAGAAATTTGGGAAGCTTGATTCTGACGCGGTCGTTGTTTTTTTCTTTCTGGCCAAGGGTGCTCCCACGTTCTCCAACAGTCTCCAGCAGCGGAACCAGCAAATCAATAACTATCACACTGGAAGCCTTCGCACTGGAGCTGTTGCAGGGAACAGGAGGCCTCCGCCTCGCAGCCTGTTGGCCCCAAAGGGGGGCGGCGGGTATCTTCCATGGACGTGGCCACGGAGACTTGCACTGTTTATTGGTATGAGTCTGGGCAGGTCCACGACTGCAACATCGGCAGGAAGGGCGTGCTCTGCAAGCCGTGCGGCAACATCCCGGGGTCGCTGGGAGGAGACGACGGGCTGGCAAGCGTTGGCATGGCGAAGTCCGCCATTGAGGCTGTGCGGACTCTGCTCGGAGGCCGCGGGAAGAAGGGAAACCAGGCGGCCACCCCAGTCGAGCCGTTTGCTCGGCAGATTTCACCGTTTGCTCGGAAGAGCTCGCCGTTTGACCGGCAGATTTCCTACGCCCAATACGCGGAGAGGACGCAGACGGTCGTCATATTCGATTGGGACGACACGTTGTTCCCAACCACGTACGTGAAGCACGACTTGGGCCTCAACATTGGCAAGCACTTGAGGGACCAGGCGCTCAGGCCCCAGATGATGATGCGTGCCCGGACGTCGCTGGCGAAGGCCGCGGGCGCCGCCGACAGGCTCCTCCGGCTGGCGGACGAGCGGGGGAAGGTCGTCGTAGTGACTCTAGCCAGGAGTCCGTGGGTGACCGATTCTTGCAAGTTTTTCTACCCCGGGATCGGCGAGCTCATCGAGAAGCTCAACATCCAGATTCTGTACGCGCGGGAGAACGAGCAGATAGACTACGCCACAGTGAACGCGATGGCCAAGGATCAGTTCGAGACGTTCTGGGCCGAGACGAAGGGCAAGGCCATCTCCAAAGCGCTGGGCGAGTTCTACTCCCAGTACGACGGACAGTCCTGGAAGAACGTCATATCCTTGGGGGACTCACACTTTGAGCGGTACGGCACGATGGCAGCGACGATGCAGTACGCTGCAGCTCAGGGCCTGGTCGGCGAAGAGGAGGTCTCCCCAGCCAGCCCGTCGGTGGCGGCGAGGCCGCGCCGAGGCTCCGGCGACTCGACGGGCTCCCGGCTGTCCGTGTCGAGCGTGAAGCGCCACGAGGGCTCCGGCCAGGGGAGGCGAATGTCGTGGCAGGGGAGGACCGTCGGCGGCCAGGCAATCAAGGTGAGGACGAAGACCTTCAAGATGCTGGAGGAGCCGACGGAGGAGGAGCTCATCGTGGAGCTGAGCCTGCTGCACCGGTGGCTCCCTCTGATGGTGGAGCTTGACGACGGCTTCGACGTCGACCTCAACAGTCTCGACGGCGAGGCGCAGATCGATGAGATCGAGAGCACGCTGCGCGCCCTGAAGTCCTGAGACAGCACGGTCTCCTCGTCATCCTCGATTCGACGCGCGTTTTGCTACTTCAGTGAGGACGCATAGTAAGAAACCTGATGCTTTCCAATTGGGCGCCTTGGACAAGGTAACCCATCCTGGCGGAACCCCAGGGCGGCGAACGGTAGTTCTTAATTGGGAGAGGCGTGTCGCAATTTCCAGTGAACTCTGCGGTCAGTCCAGCCCGGCTGAAGTATCCTTTGCCAGAGAGAACTCCAGTTCAGAACGGCCCAGGCTTACCGCTGCTCTTTTTATCTGCTCTCCGGCTGTCGCACGCCCACGAGCCTGCGACCATGTCCGTGCCTCACTACCGTCTCCAGCGAGAAGAGGCGACGGAAGTGTGTAGCGGCTGGGGCGCACCAGACCAAAATCCTCCAGGTGATCCAGGTGATCATCGTGCAGACGGTCTTTCTTCCTTCCTTCCTTCCTATTCTTCCTACGTTTCCTCCGAATCCGAGTCCTCCTCGTCTGCGGGAGTCTCGGCCCGAGACTGTCGGGGCCAGGCCCGAGCTCGGTGAGCATGTCAATCTCGGATGTCGGGGGAGATGCCCTGACCTTGGCGTGTGCCTTCGTGTTGCTTGAAGGCCCAGTTTTCGTGGCCACTGTGCCTGTTTGAAACACCCCCTTTGAGGGCTGGTGGAATCTCGCCGCAGGGAGACAGCGAAGCTTTGGCTGGCTCAGAGGGCAGTCTTCTGCATCCAGGCTAATCTGTCCAAGACCCAGCGGCATTTTGTCATGACATTGATTAATATAGCTCTGCCTTAGCATGGTCCATCGTTTCGCTCCTCGTCAGAGGTGCAAGCTTGGTTTCCCATGAGTGTCCGAGGTGCGAAGCGGAGATGCACGCTGGCAGCATGTTCGACGAGCTGGCAGACGGGCGCGGCGGCAGGGGTGAGCAACCCACTGCCATTCCGCCCGCGGGCTCAAACGCTGGCGCCCGCGGCTGCATCGATGAGGCAGGCACGCGAAGCAATCCCTGCATCGAAGGTCAAAGCAGCTAGAATTGGTGCTACGAGCTCTCCCCCTCCTCCCCCTCGCCCTCCCCCTCCTCCTCCTCCTCCCCTCCTCCTCCTCCTCCTCCTCCCTCCTCCTCCTCTCCCTCCTCCTCCTCCTCCTCCTCTTCCTCCTCCTTCCTCCCTCCTCCTCCTCCTCCTCCTCCTCCTCCCTCCTCCTCCTCCTCCTCCTGCTGCCCCTCCTCCTCCTCCTCCTCTTCCTCCTCCTCCTCCTCCTCCTTCTCCTCCTCCATTGGAGTCCATTGGAGCGTTGCGGGGCACGATAATTCCGGTGAGCCCCCTCGGATTTACATTTTCAGGTTTCGTTGCCCGTTGCCTCCTGGTCTTCTAAGAGGGCCAGCGTGTTACGTGCGCGCCTTCCCCCGTTGCAGGGACGCTGGCCCTTGCCAGCGACGGCAGCTCCGTGCGTTCTCTCTCTCTCTCTCTCTCTTTCTCTCTCCCGCGCTCGCTCCTGTTGTTTTTTTTTTTTTCTCTCTCTCTCTCTCTCTCTCTCTCTTTCTCTCTTCCCACACATCCTGTGGTGTCGGGTCCTCGCTTTGAAGAAAAAGTCCCCGCGACTCCTCCTCCTCCTCCTCCTCCTCCTCCCGTGCCCCCCCCCCCTCCCTCTTCCCCAGGGGGGGGTCCACATGCGTCTGCCACACCCAGTACGGAGCTTCGTGGCCCCATAGGGAGCTCCACGTGAGGCCCCACGGGGGGGATACCACATGCGTCCGCCACACCCAGTACGGCGCTTGGTGGCACCATAGGGAGCTCCACCTAAGGCTCCCCTGGGGGGCACCACATGCGTCCGCCACACCCAGTACGATGCTTCGTGGCCCCATAGAGAGCTCCACCTAAGGCCCCAGTGGGGGGCACCACATGCGTCCTCCACAGCCAATACAACATTTCGTGCACCCAGCACAGCGCTTCGTGGCCCCATCGGGAGCTCCACCGAACCCCCAGTGGGACCGCCCACATGCAGCCTACACGCGCAATTTGGCAGTTTGACCGTACCCAGTACAGCGTTTCGTGGCCCCCTGGGAAGCTCCACCGAAGCCCCCAATGGGACCGTCCGCATGCGTCCCGCACACACAAGTTGGCATTTTCACCAACCCAGTATAGCGTTTGGTGGCCGGGACCGCCCACGTGCGTCCTGGAAGCCCAATTTGGCATTTTCACCCACCGTGTACAGCGCTTCGTGGCCCAATTGGGAGCTCCACCGAAGCCCCTTCCGCATGCGCCCTGGAAACCCTCTCTAGCATTTTCATTCACCCAGGGCAGCATTTCGTGGCCCCACAGGGAGCTCCACTGAAGCCCCCACCAGGACCGTCCGCATGCGTCCCACACACCCAATTGGGCATTTTCACCCACCCAGTACAGCGCTTCGTGGCCCCATAGGGAGCTCCACACGGCCCCAGTGCTACCGCCCGCCACCCACTGCAGCGCCTCGTGGCCCCATAGGGAGCTTCACCGAAGAAGATTATCCTGGCAAAGCAACCTAACAACGATGTGTACAAGCATATCTGGAAGCATTCCCCCTAAGATTCAGGTGAGAATCCAGTTGTAGAATTCTGCTGTTCTCGCAGTCGCAGTCGCATTCGCAATGACACTCGCAGTGGCAACGGCCTTAGGATCCAATGGAATCCTAAGGATTCCTAAGGATTCTTAAGGCATCCTTAGAAATCCATAGGGATCCTTAGGAAACCTTAGGAATCGTTAGGAATCCTGATTCCTAACGATTCCCAAGGATTCCGAGGGAATCCGAAGGATTCCGAAGGATTCGCCTGCCTCGGCCTCAGCCTCAGCATGCCTCAGCCTCAGCCTGCCTCAGCCTCAGCCTCAGCCTGTCTCAGCCTCAGCCTGCCTCAGCATCAGCCTCAGCTTCAGCCTCAGCCTGCCTCGGCTTGCCTCGGCCCCAGCCTCAGCCTGCCTCGGCCTCAGCCTCAGCCTCAGCCTGCCTCAGCCTCAGCCTGCATCAGCCTCAGCCTCAGTCTGCCTCAGCCGCAGCTTGCCTCAGCCTCAGCCACAGCCTCAGCCACAGCCTCACCCTCAGCCTCAGCCTGCCTCAGCTTCAGCTTCAGCCTCAGCCTGCCTCGGCTTGCCTCAGCCTCAGCCTCAGCCTGCCTCGGCCTCAACCTCAGCCTCAGCCTGCTTCAGCCTCAGCGTCAGCCTTTCAGCCTCAGCCTGCATCAGCCTCAGCCTCAGCCTCAGCCTCAGCCTCAGCCTCAGCCCGCCGCAGCCTCAGCCTGCATCAGCCTCAGCCTCAGCCTGCCTGAGCCGCAGCTTGCCTCAGCCTCAGCCACTGCCTCAGCCTCAGCCTCAGCCTGCCTCAGCCTCAACCTCAGCCTCAGCCTGCCTCGGCCTCAGCCTCAGCCTCAGCCTCAGCCTGCCTCGGCCTCAGCCTCAGCCTCCGCCTGCCTCAGCCTCAGCGTCAGACTCTCAGCCTCAGCCTGCATCAGCCTCAGCCTCAGCCTCAGCCTGCCTCAGCCTCAGTCTCAGCCTGCCTCAGCCTCAGCCTGCCTCAGCCTCCTGAGCCTGCCTCGGCCTCAGCCTCAGCCTGCCTCAGCCTCAGCCTCAGCCTGTCTCAGCTTCACCCTGCCTCAGCATCAGCCTCAGCCTCAGCCTCAGCCTGCCTCGGCTTGCCTAGGCCTCAGCCTCAGCCTGCCTCGGCCTCAGCCTCAGCCTCAGCCTGCCTCAGCCTTAGCCTCAGCCTGCATCAGCCTCAGCCTGCATCAGCCTCAGCCTCAGCCACTGCCTCAGCCGCAGCTTGCCTCAGCCTCAGCCACAGCCTCAGCCTCAGCCTCAGCCTGCCTCAGCTTCAGCCTCAGCCTCAGCCTGCCTCGGCTTGCCGCAGCCTCAGCCTCAGCCTGCCTCGGCCTCAGCCTCAGCCTCAGCCTCAGCCTGCTTCAGCCTCAGCCTCAGCCTCTCAGCCTCCGCCTGCATCAGCCTCAGCCTCAGTCTCAGCCTGCCTCAGCCTCAGCCTGCCTCAGCCTCAAGTTCAGCCTGCCTCGGCCTCAGCCTGCGTCAGCCTCAGCCTCAGCCAGCCTCAGCCTCAGCTTGCCTCAGCCTCAGCCTCAGCCTGCCTCGGCGTGCCTCAGCCTCAGCCTCAGCCTGCCTCGGCCTCAGCCTGCCTCGGTCACAGGACTGGTGTTCTGGGAACACGAAGATCACGAAGTGGCCCACAATTGGCTCCGGGCAATCAAAATATGGTACAGGAATTGTGTTCCGGGAACACGAAGAACACGAAGTGGCTTACAGTTGGCTCCGATCATTAAACATGTGGCCTGGGAATGGTGTTCTGGGGGCACGAAGAACACGAAGTGGCCTACAGTTGGCTCCGGGCATTCCAAATATGCCCTGGGAATGGTGTTCTGGGAAGACGAAGAACACGAAGTGGCTTACAGTTGGCTCCGGGCATTCAAAATGTGGCCTGGGAATTGTGTCGTGGGAAGACGAAGAACACGAAGTGGCCTACAGTTGGCTCCGGGCATTCAAGATGTGGCCTGGGAGTGGTGTTCTGGGAACACGAAGAACACGAAGTGGCTTACAGTTGGCTACGGGCATTCAAAATGTGGCCTGGGAGTGGTGTTCTGGGAATGGATTCCTAAGGATTTTCCAAGAATTCCTAAGGATTCCTAAGGGTTCCTGTGGCTGCACTTTTGTCCGGATCTGTCCGGATCCCGCCCAGACCCCCTTGGGGCGTCAAGATGCTTTCGTTTGATCCCACTAGGAACCTATCAGCAAAAGTTGTTAGGTAATATTCACAATTGCGGTACCCACAACTGCATATGGTTGGGTCCTTCGCCAGGATATGTTTGTTTTATCTCTCGCCCTCTCTCTCTCTCTCTCTTTCTTTCGCTCCAGCTATGGCCGTCCTTGCGCCGAGACTCATGCACGCCTGCACTGTCACCCATTGTGCGCCTGCTAGATCATCATCCATGCCATCATCTATCCCTCTCCCTCCTCCCTCCCTCTGCCCGCCCTCTCATGCAGGTGGACTTGGGCGGGGCTGGGGGTCGGGAGCGGCTGCTGCCGCAACGGAGGGGCACCCAAGGTCGGCTCTGTCACTGGGCGAGTGGCTAAACGAGGCGGTTACCCGGCGCATCCGTGCGAAGGCTCAGATCTCAGAGGCGGACAAAGGAGCCGATACCGCTTCCCTTCGCTCGTCTCCCTTGTTGTTGGGCCTGGACCCTCGCCGCCATGGATGAATTCGCTTCGAATTTTCTGGTCAGAACTCATTCTGGGAGAGGTCTGGGGGTAGCGGCATCGTTACCTGCAGGTTTCCCAAGATTTGAATTCTGGCCCTCGAGGTCAAGCGCCAGACGTGCGATTGCGCCCCCTGCTGCGCGCAGGGCGCAGCATACATTATGGCCAGATCGTTTCAACACCCTGCGAACCTTCCCCTGTCGTCCTCAGTTTTTTGGCGCAGGCGCCTCCCTGCAAGATTTCAAGAGGACCTCTGACAGTTTCTTAGGTGGCCCGGGAGGCCTGTTGGGAGCGTTTCGGGAGCATCGGGTGGTTTCTTGGGGCCATGTTGTTGTCAACCGCGGTTTCCCTCAGCGACCAGGGCCCGACGTGGAGTGTTTTGGGGGGCATTATTGGGATTATTTGCGGCCGTTAATGGGGCTCTCGTCGGGCCGTCTCGCGGCCCTCCTGGATTTGTTGGATGCTAGTTCAGTCCTCGTTGACGCGATGTTCAAAATCACACTGCACTGTCCGGAACAGCAGGAACCATTGCTTCTAGCATTCGGAGAGCCTCTTGGGGGTCTTGTTTGGGTTCTGCGGGCCTCTGGGAGTGTCTGGGGCCGCTCAGGGCTCTCGCGGGGCCGTCTGGCCGCCCTCTGGTGCAAACTGTGCGCAGCGATTTGCGTGGTGCAATCTGTTT